TTTTTTTCTCTAGATGAGTGGTATTTAATATATTTCACTATAACATATGATTAACAGATAAGTTGGTATGTGAACATCATATATTAATTGAAAAAGAAAACACTCTCTTCATTTAAACAATGTAATGCAATGCAAGTAAATGAAATTAAATACTTAATTTGACCCAGTTTAAGACCAGCTATTTCATATCGTTGACCCAGGGTTGGCCTGGGAAAGTGAAACTAGACCAAGGGACACACTGTAGGCACAGTGAACTTAGGTACTTTGGTCTACACGTCTACACTCAAGGAGGAGCTAGAGAGAATGGGGAGTGATTTGAAATGGCCTGTAGTAAATGACTGCTCGAATAGCACCGCTAAATCTACACATTCAGTTTATCAGTTGCTCAGGACAGATAATCTTTTAAAAACAATACAATGTAATGTAAATATTAGTCAAGGTGGAGCAGAAACCTAAATTTAATTTGTTCTATTTTAACACTATGAACAAAGCTGTACCATTTAGGTTTTTTAACAGAGTCTATCATCACAGTCATAACCCAAGGTCATGTCTCTGAAGCGCTAACCAGGAGTGGCCAGAGTAGCCTAAACCCATACTTATGCAACCCTATTGTTACTCCTGCTGAATAATGAAGTAAAATTACCTTTCCTCACTTTTTATTTTGACCCAATTTTCTCCCCAATTTAGTTTTTGTCAATTCCACCCATTAGCTAGGCCTCCCTGAAATACACGATGCTACCAAGCTGGGAGGGTGAAGGCTCATGCTTCCTCTGAGACAAAGTGGCACACCGGACAGCTCAACACGCTTGAATGAGAATGCTAACTGCCAATGCTGTTATATCAGCCTACAGACACCTGTATTGGATAGCAGCATGTTGAGTGAACGGGGGAGAGGGAGGCAATCCAACCCACTCAGAGACAGACATGATAATATGCTTTCTAGGACTCCTGGCCACTGACGGCTGTGGTGTAAAAGTACCCTTTGTAAAAATGATTTTTATTAAAAAAAGAGCGTCCAAGAGGTTTGGCTTTCAGCAGTAAATTGTAAGCATATAGCAATATGGGTATGATCATAAAACACATGTTCTGTTAATTTGAGGGGAAAAAATAATAATAATAATACTAATTCAAATAAAAATACAGTTATTTCATGCACAGTTACTGAATAATTTGCCTTATGATTTGATCATGTGAACTCAGATGGAAAAACCAAAATATTCCCTGGTCAATAAGAGGTTAATTAAGTTGACAAAGCACACACCAATCAAAATTTTACTAGAGTATGTAATTCTGGAGCTTTTCTATTGGTACACTGATCATGAAGCTGGCTTTTTCAAATGATGTAAAAGGAAAACCAAAAGAACTGGAGCTACAGCGATTATATATTTAATGCTCTGTCAGGCTTTTTCCAATCCTGTTTTGACCTAATGACACTTCTGTATGCCTGGATGCAAAGAAACCTACACGGTGTCGCACCTTCTTTATTTCCTCAATTCCCTCACATCAAGGCTGCCATCTACAGGACAAAGTGAGCGCAGGCAGGGCCGTAACTAGGATCAAAATTTTAGTGAGATCCATTTTGCAAAAATGTGACCTACATCACATAGTGAATAAACTAACTGCCGTTTATGAGTATTACACCAACCGTGAGTTTCTCCTTCACCAAATCATTACTCCTTTTTATACCCATCCATAACTGTTATGTACCTTTTCCTTTCATTTGTTCCTTCCCTGTCCCCGCTACTCTTCCATGAATTGCTACAGCTGTTTCAAACACTAATTTGACTCCTACCCTGTTATTTATTCAATCATTTAACTATTCATGTATGTTTCTTTTTTTTTAGCTGTGTTGAAACCTAAACTAAATCAAGCGAGTGTTTCAAATTGATTTTAGTTCACTAAAAAAGCACACATTAAACGTTACAAAAGGCTGACTACATCAAACCCCTGAAAACGGGAGCCAATGAGACAAAATACAGTCTAATGTGCTGATTTCTTATTAATGTTAGCTACATGATGCTATACCACCAACCCTGATAGCAAGAGTACAGTGGACCACTGTCAGCCCTCTGATGGCAGAGCTGGTGGTCCACTGGTGTTTTGCTCAGTGTTTTCTATGTGACCCACCGACGGTTGAGCAGTGTTAGACAAAAATTCCACTTGTCAAGGTTCATTTTCCACTCACAGTCCAATTTACTGATTTTCCCTTCCTTCCTTTCTCTAGTTATACTTTGTAAATTAGTTTAGTAAATAATTTTAATCAAGCGCAGTGTCAGCAACATTTTCTAGAACATCATTTTATATCAGGCCTAGTCATTTTTTTTTCTCTCGGTTGTTTGTAAAATTTGTGTAAGTTTATTTTCTAAAATAAGTCTCTGTGCATTTAAAATCTGTTTGAGGAGATTAAAAACTAGTTAGAGCTTGTATACAGGACAGTAATCTGGGTGGTCTGAGGGTGGTCCAACAGTGGCAAACAGCCAGTGGACCAACATATGCTTGCTGTCTGGGAATATGCTGGTTAATAGTAAACTTTCTCATGCTGGCTGCAGTATGTTATGAGTAGGTAACACAGTACAGCTTTAATTTCTCATATAATCTCTAATATAGCCAACTACAGAGCCTGTAGCCTAAACTGAGCAGCTACTGGAACTAGACCAAAGCATGCTGGCTTAGCCAGGGGCATTACGAACAGTCCAAACAAATAATGAAACACAGGGTTTGCATTTTACAATCTTAATGTGTTGATTGCGCTCATAGACCTTTAGCTACATACATGTTTACCACAGCGATGATGTTAGCCTACAGCATGTGTGCTGCATGCCTGAACATCTCAAGAAGTCAAAGTTACTCTGTGACTCAGGGCAGCACAGCGTCTACTACAGAGATAAACAGAGCGGTCAGTTCTCTATAGACCACTGTAGTCGTGTCGTCATTCTGTAGTCGGCGCTGTGCTCTTATTCCCATATTAGGAACTCCGGGTCTAAGCTCCATTTCTCCATGGGCAGAATGAATAGGGTTTTCTAAAAATCACCTCTATTGCACTCTGTGTTAAACAAACATGTTCAGAACCCGATACGTTTTGTCCTATGAACTTTCTTCTCTCAAATACCACTGGATCATCCAAAGTACGAGGGTGCACTGAATTCACGTCATTAGACTGGCAGCCTCTTTAACCTCTTATTCCCCAGGGTATATTTTGTTTATTCCATCTGAATTTACATGCTTAAATCTCCGTAAGGCAAATTATTCAGTAACTGCATGAAATAAATGTAAATTTTTATTTTAATTTTTTTTTGGTAAAAGCTCAGAACAGAACATGTGTTTTATGATCATACACATATTGCTATAGGCTTACAATTTACTGCTGAAAGCCAAAAATCTTAGACACTCTTTCTATTGTTTTATAAAAAATATTTTTTACAGAGCAGATCACTGAAGAGACGCCATCTGTTTATAGTTTATAGCCAAGATTTGTGGAAAAATTGGTTGACTTTCAGTAGACAAAAAAAAAAAATCGTGTTTCTTTTATTATAAAGACGTAAAATTACATTACGCATCTATTTGACTGGAAAGAAGACAGTTACAGCTCTCATATGACACCCACCTTTTGAATGTAGCTTATGAAATATGAAAGTTATGAAGAATATGATGAAGTGTGTTTTGGAACGACCGGTGGTCTCAAGGAGTTGAAAAGCACGCTTTGTCAGTGTACATTTCCATGTACAGACTGAGGGCAGATGAAAAGAAGTCCTAATTATAAATATCCTAATTATTATTTTAATGCTGGCAACATTTTTCTGAGGACATTCGCCAGCTTTTTGTTTAACTTTTCCTGTTCCACCTTAAATGGTGCAGCATTCACATTCTGAACTTCTGCACCATTTAAGGTGGAACAGGAAAATTTTGACAAGCAGCCGCCGAAAAAGAAGCTGACTTCAGCTTCATGGAGGGTTGAAAGGCCTGATATGAGGAGGTTTCTCTATTTTCACTTAACAGCTGAGTAACATTAACTTATTTTTGCTGATTCACAGAACAGACAGGTCAGTATTTTGTCTTGTTTGCTCATGTTTGTGATGGCTACTCACAGCAGCTGCACCATTTAAGGTGGAACGGGAATATTCAGTAGTTACGTTGCTTTTTTTCACACTGAAGCTAATAAAACCCGTTAGAAACCTCAGAGGACCTCACAAACATTAACACATTCACAACATCACAGGTGCTGATTACTGAAGTAATTGCAGACAGCAGCAGTTGCTAAGCAGTGAGTAGTGGGTTGAGGAAAAGAAGGTGGAGCTTGTAAGTAAGTGACCCTTATTAGTCCCACAACAGGGAAATTTCACCTCCGCATTTAACCCATCAGTGCAGTGAAACACCACATACACACTAGTGAACACACACACTAGGGGGCAGTGAGCAGCCCTATCCAGAGCACCCAGGGAGCAGTTGAGGGTTAGGTGCCTTGCTCAAGGGCACTTCAGTCACGTACTGTCAGCTCAGGGGATCACACTGGCAACTTTCCGGTCACAAGGCTGGTTCCCTAACCTCCAGCCCATGACTGCCCCAGTCAGACTTTGGCAGATTTTGATTGGCCATAATACAGTGACAGCGCTCAGAGACAACAAATAACATTTAATTATCATCAAAAATGACTCCTCATAAATGTTCTGGGTGGGCCTGTGATACCGTGGGTAAGCCTTTGAGTAGACTGTATTATCATAACACCGCTGTTTCTACGTTTAATCTTATGAATAGAGAAGTAAAAAAAAAAACGCTTCTTAGACTACCGAGGTCCAGACATTGTTGTCCTCATAGGTAGTTTCTGCCATGAGCACAGTTTAGCAGTCAGTGGAAGAAAACGATTAACCAGTGACTCAAAGCCGACATGCACTAATACAGTCTTATTTCTATGTAAACCCATCCTAGCCTATCACCTCCTGAAGATTTAAAAGATTTAGCCACCCTAAAGCACAGGTGATTTATAACAATAACAAGTGACGCAATTCAGAAACTTATTATTTATTTGTTTTTTTCCGCTCAAGTATGACACAGTTGTAGCTGAATGTGTGTTTCAGTGTTTCACACTTTATAAAAGCACAGCTTAACATAAGGCATACAAAAATTAAAAATACACAAATGGAATGGTGTCACATAATGGGCACAGATACGGTAAACATCCCATATGATAACATGTTTGTTCACACGGTTGCACTGGCTAATTATCACTGTATTGTAAACATTATGGACAATACTATGGCACACATCATCTTTAAAAATACCACTGTCCAAAATAGTTATTTGTTATGTGTACATTCATCAACTCTCAAAAATAGTGCACTACATTCTGATTTTCCCAACACTTTCAACTCCAACATTTAGACATTTAAACACAAAATAAAGCTCCTGCCTACCTCTAGACTAGGTTTATTATTGCACTAGTACTTGCTACTGGCAAACTGTTAGCTAGAGATGGCAGCAAAGGCTGCAGAAAGGTCATACTAATCTAAAGAGAGATCAATCAAATATTCTTCAAAAGCTACATGTCTTGTTCCAATGAACTGTTCTTGCATGTTAAAACTATTTCTTACACTACTTAGGCTATTTGAGTGAGCTCTCCTCTCAACAGGAAAGAACTATGTGAGGTTTATGGTGATGGTGTCTGAACATTTTCTCACCTACTGCATCGACACTACAGGAATATAAAGACAACACATTTACCACAGTTTGACTTACAGACTGCATGAGACACAAACATTAACACGTTCACAAGCAGTTTTTCACAGATATTAACACACTCCACAGAAATGACACAACCACCCCCCTCAACCCTGACTTACACCTAGAGGTCAGAGGTCAAAGCAGAGGGTGAAGATGCCAGTGATAGGCCGTATGGTATGGTTTCCACAGTTACATTGACATATGCTCGGGCAGGACGTAGGAGATGTCGTCCCATGGGTGGCGGTACAGACCCTGTTTCAGACGCTTCTGATCCAGATAGTGGCCTGTGAAAGGAGGGAGAAAGAAAGAAAGAAAGAGGGAGAGAAAAATGAAGAATGAAAAGCAAAAAAAAATAGGGAGAGAAAATGAAGAATAAAGAGAAAGATAAAAAAGAAAGAAAATAGGGAGAGAAAAATTAAAAAAGAAAGAAACAAAAAATGGAGAGAGAAATACAAGAGAAAGGAGACAGAAATAAACAGATGCAAAGAAAAATATGGAATGAGAGAGAGAGCGCATGAGAGAGAAAACAGGAGAAAGAGATACAAGTAAAGAAAGGAAGAAAAAAGAAAGAAAAAAAGAAAACAAGAGCATAAATTGCTTAATAGTTCAATCTGGTTTAAAAGTCTCAGCTGCAAGTTTAGGATACACTCAGAGTCACAATGCACAAAGAATTATGTTTAAGTTAAGTTTGATTAGTTTAACTAAAACTGTATAGTTAGAAACTCCCATTTTCTCCCTGAACCAAAGAGCACAAGACCATCAGATAAATACACAACCACAAACATCACAAACACTGACCAATGAAGCCCATGCTGCGTCCCAAAACGAAGATTCCATTCAGTGCGCCAATCTCCACAAACTCATCAGCCTCGTCCCTGTAATACAGGAGAGACAAATCTCTTTCACGCATACAGTTTTGTGTAGGTATTTGACAGCAGTGAAGTGATTAGGGGGTTAGTATGAATGCAAGTCAGTGTCAAAATCTCACAATGACTGACGCATCAGGCGACTGAGTGAAAACCTACTACAGTTCCCTAGAAATGATGGTGAGGGCTCATGTGAGCCAACACATTACCGGGAAACAGGTTGATTACATAAATATCACACTACACGCTGACACCTTGTTATGCAGGTGTTTTATAACATTAGCACAGCATAGTGACAACAAGAAGCAAACAGGAGGATGTCACATCTTCATTGGGGATGTCACATCTTGTGTAATTGGATTATCGGAAAAAATAATAGTAAAACAATGTAAATGCTGCAAGTGTGAATGATGCAAAGCCCATTACCATAAACATACGCTGTGTGTGTGAGAGAGAGATAAAGAGAGAGAGGTATTGCAGGGCCCTGGTCATACTTGGCATTGACGTGTCCTCGATGATCCGATCATAAGTGAACAGCGCTAAGTACCGGAGTGAACAGGGTACAATGTGTCTTGGAGACAGTGTGATCCGATGTGTCTTGGAGATCCGATCTCTCAAACCACCTTCATAAGTCTTCAGGGACGCATATGGCCACACAACATTTATAATGTGAACGCTAAAGAATCTTGATGCATCTTTAACAGCGGTGAAGGACCATCTTCATCAGCTGCGTCACCATAGCGGACATGTAAGCAGCTGTGCGGCTTAATTTTTCACCTCCTGTACCATTTGTTTTCAAGTCGCGTCAGCGGTTCATGTGGTCTAAACGTTTGTAACAGCCATTTCATTTACATAAACGTGGATTCCTGGTATTTTTTGTCTGACAGTAAATGCAATTAGAGACTCGTGTAGTAAATGTAGGTGGTAACCTTCCTCCAATCATGAAATCCAGTCACTGGGGACAGATTTGAGACCCATGGAAATGCCAGGTGCAAACAGCTACATGTTTTGATGTCCACTTATGATCAGATCACTCCAGGCAGAGGTTTATATCAAGCCTGAACAGAGCCCAAAAGAGAGAGAGAGAGACCGATCAGTGAACGTGTTTGCTCTTCTTCAGCCTTCATACTCACCTTGTAAAGCCTCCACACGTCCTCAGCAGATCCACGAAGGCCACTCCAATAAAACCATCTACATTCAGAATGAGGTTTGGTTTCTGAGAGGAACAGAGACACAAATATATTGTTACTGAATAGCAGGCTTTCCATCATCAACCACAACAGGATTCTGATTCACACGGACACACACACACAAACACAAACACAATAGCACATACACATGTATATACACATATACACACAGGTGCTATTGTACCTTAGAGGTGGTGATTTTTTCCACTTCCAGTGCATAGTCCAATAGCTGGGTGGAGGGGAAGTGCTGCTTCACAAAGTCCTTCAGGATCTGCACCCTCATATCAGGGTTATTGATCTGAGACACGAACCACACAAAACATAACCATGTGCAGAAATTCAGCTTTGATGTAAAGGCAAGAATATAGTGCGGGATTTCTGAATCATTGATTAGCGTTTTTTGTGAATTCATCATTTAATATTTAAATACAATAAGGTTTTTATTAAAATTATACATTCATATTAATTTTTTATTTTCTGAAAAAAAAAAGATCAAACTGGGTGCCGTAGTGAAAAACAAAAGATATTAGACCCTGTTTTTGTTTTTTAAATCCAGAACAGATCATGATGAAATGAACAATGAGAGCTTTAAAAATTGATGCAATCGATATTGAAAGAACAAGAGTCTATCATGCAAGTAGTTTGATCTGGGCAGTATTGTGATTATTAGGCCACAATAAGCTTTTCTTAGTGTATCATGTATATTGTTAATATTTAAAAAACACTTTCCAACTGCATGTTTGATCACAAATAATGATTTGTCCTGTCTGTTTGGATTTAGTGCAGCGTTGTGTGTGAAATAGTATTTGAGAGAATATATTAATTGTGGCAACTTACATGTTGTCAGAAAAAAAAAAAAAGATATTGTGACATTGTTTATCGTGAAAACTTTTTGAAGTATCATGATCTTACATTTTTGCTATAACGCCCAGCTCTACATGTAGTAATGCTTTTTTTATTGTGAGTGAGTGAAGGAGAGCAGAGTGCAAAGTGAGGCGTGAGACTGGCAACCACAGTAGAGAAAGGGTGGCTAGTTGCCATGACAGCAGAGATCAAAGCAGCAGCAGTGGTTACATCTGCGTTTGTGCTTACTCACAGATTTGACCCTGTGCCCAATGCCCATGATTAGTTTGCCGTCTTTCTTCATCTTGTTGACAAACTCCATGGGCAGCATTCCACTATCAAACGCCTTACTGAACTGCTTAGCAGCAGCATCCAGAGCACCACCGAATCGATCCCCCTGAACACAAAAGCACACACATAATACAACTCTAACAGACCCAAATTCCACATTTGTTTCAATGACAGTTTTTCTCTTAAGTCCACTTAACATTTGTGTTTGCTTACTAAAAACAGTCATAATTGATTTTTACCTGACCATTTTCCAACCTCTCTTTATTCCTTACAATTAAACAGGCTGTTGGCTGGATATTTTTGTTTGGTGGACTATTCTCAGTCCAGCAGTGACACTGAGGTGTTTTAAAAACTCCAGCAGCAATGCTGTGTCTGATCCACTCAGACCAGCACAAAACACACTAACACACCACCACCACGTCAGTGTTACTGCATTGCTGAGAATGATCCACCACCCAAATAATACCTGCTCTGTGAGGGTCCATGGGGGTCCTGACCTCTGAAGAACAGGGTAAAAGGGGGCTAACAAAGTATGCAGAGAAACAGATGGACTACAGTCTGTAACTGTAGAACTACAAAGTGCACCTATATAGAAAGCTGAGCTGATAAAATGGACAATGAGTGTAGATACAAGAAGGTGTGCTTAATAAAGTGGTTGGTCAGGGTAAGTATGTACACATGGGATGGAGAGTGAATACTGTGTTATGAAACTTTAACAAATGTTTACATCCCACATCAAACAACTGAACTGAAGTAATATTATTCCAAGTGAATGCAGCTGAAACTGGTCTTACGATAGTGAGCAGGCCGGATGTAAGACTGGAGATGAGGTCTTTGCCAGCGCGGGCACACACGATGGTGTTATGAGCTCCGGACACCGCAGGGCCATGATCCGCAGTCACCATCAGACACATCTCTATGAACTGACACGCATATCGTGGAAGCCTGTCGCACACAATGAGATATGTATTTGATGATATAGATAAGTAGACAGATGTGTGGTAGATAGACAGATAGACATCAGACATTCTTCATGTGCATATCTGATGATGCTGATACATAATCATTTACAAAATGTAAACACAAACAAAATCAGATTAGAATCGCAGATGAAATATAACATTTACTTGTTTGAAGTTACAAAGTCAGTAAAATGACTAAAATGCAGCCCTTTTTAGCACAGCAACCCAGGGTCTCCTAAATGTTGTGCTCTTCCACAGTACAAAAATATATCATCAAATGTCACTTCAAATATTGGCCAAATCTAAACATCTGTCCAATGTTTTTTTAAGCAATTACATTCCCAACACTGATTTGATTCCGATATCATCATGCATCCCTAATTTACTGATACCCAAGAGGACATTTGAGAGCTACAGTAGAAAAAGAACACAGACCGTGATTAATACACAAATTCCACAGGAGTATCACGTGCACACTCACCTCCTCTGGAACCAGAGCAGTCCCAGAGTGCCCCCCAGACCGATCTCTGACTTAAAGACCTCTGTGATGGGCATTCCAGCATAGATCAGCTCCTGACCTCTCTCATCACAGATACTGGTCATGAAAGATGCTGGCTTACGAATCAGACCTAACTCCTGCACACACACACACACACACACACACACACACACACACACACACACACACAGAGAGAGAGAGAGAGAGAGAGAGAGAGAGAGAGAGAGAGAGAGAGAGAGAGAGAGAGAAAGAGAAAGAGAGAGACCAAGAGATAGACACAGAGAAAAAGAGAGAGACAGAGAGAGAATCACATAATACTAATGTTTATTAATATTCATGTTTATTAATATTTATACATATTGTAAAATTGGGGCACATTTTAAAGTGTATGTTTAACTCACACTAAACTTTGCAAATAAATAGAAACTGTGTGTTAAAGTTTTCAGAAAAAATGCCATAGTTAAGTTCCCTATGTTAACTTACTTTCACTTTAAAATGTCATTTGACAAAGACCGTTTCAATTTTTAAATATTAAATTAAAGACTAGAGTCTCCCGAAGATTCTGCAGCTGACTCAGGTATGTTAAATTGCGAATTTGTATGGAATTAAAAACTGTTATCAACAAAGAATGTGAATCCTCTTATCATATAATACACTACAGCAAGAGTTGGTTTTAACTGTTAAATATTAGTGAAAATTAAGAAAAATTTGAGAAATACAAGAAAAGATATACAGATTAATATAAAATATCTAGTATGTGGGTGTGAAAAAAGTTAAATAATGAAAGGGGCGTACTGACCCTTGCCCAAGAGTAATCCATCGGCACAGTGGGAGGGGGAACTTCCTTAGCAGGCACAATCACACCTCGGCTCACCAGGTCATCATAAACTGACCTAGAACATGCAAACATAATCATTTCCATTCATTCACATCCAAAAAAATCTGTAAGATTATTTATAATAATGTTCTAAACTTTAATGTACATTAATGTAACAAGACTTTACACAAATAAGTAATGTTGGACCATTTCTGTTGGTCCATTCTTCGTGAAACATTTACACAGTGTAAAGGGCAGATGACATTTTCAAACTGTGTAAAAGATCAGAATAAAATGAAGCTAAAAGCGTCTCATATCACAGTGATAATACGTTAGCATGTAAGTCTTGTAAGTCTTACTTGATGACCTCTCCTAGTTCGTCAAAGCTCTTGGGTACAAAGACTCCAGCCTCTTTCAGGGCCTTGTTTTTGGCCACTGCAGTCTCAGAGGCCTGATTAGCACATGCTCCAGCATGGCCGAACTGCACCTGCACACAAAACAAGGCCAAAAAGGGTCAAGGATCTCTTTCATAACCAGAAAGCAACTCCCTCAGCTCACTCCAGTTACTGAATCAGTCAAAAATAATTTATTCTTCCCTCTGAAGAGGCACACAAACTCACCTCAGAGGCAAACATGGTAGCACAGGTGCCGATACACCAGCAGACAACAGGCTTAGTGATCCTTCTCTCTTTAATGCCCTGACAAATCTTATACTCCTCTGTACCTCCAATCTAGAAAGAAAGACAAAAAGACAGAAATACAGAAACATAAGAAAGGAAAGGAGAAAAAGAATGGAAAAGAAAAAAAGTGCCTTACTTAAATTTTGCAAGGCTTAAAGGGCCCATATCACATAAAACTTTGTACCGTTTGCTATCCATTCTATATATGGAAAGGAATGTCATGAGAACCAACTCATTTACATATATGCACTTATTCAGCCTACAGCAGTTTAGCCTCACCCACTCACACTGAAGTTCTAAGGAGTCTTTCCGTTCTGAGTGCTCTCTCAGACACAATACAGGGCAGCCAATCAAACCAAAGCTCATTTATCTTGAATCAGGCCATGTAAAAATAAATTCTGACCATGTTTGGTAGGTAAAACCACACAAATAGTTTAAAAGTAGACCTCTAGGGAAAACAATACAATATAGAAAATGTAGGAAATGGGCCCTTTAAGTGATGTTTGAACAATCTAGTTAAAGAGGACAGCTATGTCTCACCTCTCCCAGCACAACGATCATTTTCACCTCTGGTGTATCCTGATACCTCAACACATGATCCATAAACACTGAGCCTGGGTACCTGCAGCACAAACCAACAGTTTAATCATGTATACGTACTGCACACACACTCAAACACATGAACACAAACTATACATGCACACATACAGTATCGTGTAAAGTCAGTGGCCACCTTTATTGTTCATTTAAATTCCAGTCAAAACGGCCATTAAGTACAAGTTATTAATTTTTCATTGTCAGGAATAAGTAGGAAACATATATTTAACAGCAAAGTACACAAAAGCATTCAACACTAAGTATATTATCAAATCTATCTGTATTTAATTTGTCCACTCTTCAGTGCTATGCACTCACTGTCACTTTAACTCTTCCATCCCTTTCAATCTTGGACCCAACCAGTTCCAGCTGTGTTCTCCCAACAAAAGCTGCTCCCAGAGATTTCCCTATGTTCCCTTTTAAACAGACACTAACATTCATACAAGCAGCTACCCAACTCACCAAACTGCCTCACACATTTCTTTCGCATGTTCATCTAAAATAGCTAAAGGACATATTTTTGAGGAGATCAGACACAAGTTAATCCACTTGTGTAAAGAAGGGGGGAGTCAAAGGAAAATAGGTAAAAACCAAACCTAAAACTTGTGTTCCTCCTGTAAAGAATGGAAACTGTAATGAAGGCAGAGGGTGGACACACTAAATACTGAAAACTAAAACCTATTATGCTTTTTTTCCTGACACTGAAAAATGAAAACTTGTACTTAATTGCCATTTTGACTGGAAACTAAATAAATGAGAGGGTGGTCTCATATGCACATATGTACACACCTGTCTCCCCCAATGGCGACGCCCTCAAACACTCCGTCTGTAGTGCGGGAGATGATGTTGTTGAGCTCGTTGGACATGCCCCCGGAGCGAGAGACATAGGCTACGCTGCCTGGACGGTACAGCTTGGACGCCAGGATGTTGTCTAGCATTCCGCCCGTATTACCAATCTTAAAACAGCCAGGCTTTATACCTCCCACCTAAAGCACATACAGACACAGACATACAGAAGGGCATCGACAAACATTAATACAACCCTCCTCCACTGACAGACTACACGATACTTATTTAGCATTTATTAAAAGTATTTGGTGCAGTATAGTATGCAGATAAAATACACAGACGGTCAAACATTATATGTGACATGAAATGAATGGTAGTGTTTGTGCTTTACCGTTGCTGGCCCAATGATAGTCACACCCTTCTCATCTGCTTTCTTGATGATCTTGCGGGTCAGTGCCTCAGGAATGCCCTCTGCTATAATTGCAATAGTGAGGATCTGCAAACACACATACATACATCACATCAGAAATAAAAACAATCAACATTTGAATCAGTGTTCAATCAAAGCAGCACACAATTCACACCTGCAGCATTCACTTCTATAGCAGATATAACAAAATAGCAAAGCCTTAAATCCCTGAAATGGGAGCTTTACAGCAGAAGAAAAAAATGTTCAGTATTTTAAGGTTTGCTTCTTTAAGGTTTATTAACGACTAGCTAGCAATTTATAAATGCCATTGTAAACAGAAACATACAGTGTATGGCCACAAGAATGTGGACATCCCACAGTTTAGGGGGCTACATCCGCTGCTACCAGTTACATAAAATCAAGCACATAGCCTTGCTATCTCCATAGACAAACACTGGCAGTAGAATGAGTTGTACTGAAGAGCTCAGTGACTTTAAATGTGGCACATTCATAGGATGCCACCTTTGCCACAAGGCAGATGGTGAAATTTCCGCCCTGCTTGATCTGCCCCGGTCAACTGTAAGTGCTGTTGCTGTGAGATAAAAGTGTAAGAGCAATAATAGCTCAGCCATGAGGAGCTAAACCACACAAATTCACGAAGTGGGGCCAATAAGTGTTGAAGCAAGTATCATGTAAAAACTATCCTCTGTTGCATCACTCACTGCAGAGCTCCACACTGCCTCTGGAAGAAACATCAGCACAAGAAATAAAGAAATATGAACAATATAGTAATATAGATCTGAATTCCCAATAACCAAGCAAGCAAAAGATCAACCTTTAAAGTTTGCAGCTGCTTGAACACTGTTGTAGAAGTTTAAAAATACTTATAGTCCTGCATGAAATACAGCTCTGACTGCCTCCTGCAATGATGTGGTCTGATCTAAATGCTAAATTAAAGAAAACCCCTGACATTCTCACACCAGTCGAATGGAAGAAAAACTTGCTTATGGAGAAAAACAAAACTACAAGTACATTATTCTCAAAAAGCAGATCTCCACCTTCAATAATGCTATGAAAAATCCAGACACACATACCTCTCTAGTGAAACCAACTGACTGACCCTAACCTTTCTGCTAGTGTGTCTGCAAAGAGTTTGCAGTCCATTTCAAAATAAAATAGCCTTGATAAGACAGAGCATAGCACAGCGAGCTGAAACAAATTCTAATAACCTTCCTGATCATCGGTAATGACATCCTTCTCTGTTATCAATTATCAGGAGCTTACCACTGTTATAAACAAAGTAGGTTTGTCCACATGTGATATTGACCCTGTTCCTATGTCAGCTTTTGCTTTTCTCTTTACAGGGTTACCTCTATGGGATGTCATCAGGAAATATAATATCAATTTTCATAATTATGCTAATGACATGCAATTATACTTTCCTTTCCTTCCAAAAATCTAGACTTCATTGACAGGCTTATCAGCTCTGTGTCAGATATTTCTTAGTGGATGTCACAAAATTTCCTACAATTGCACAACTGAAATACTGATCCTTGGTACTAAAACTCAGAGAAAAATGCTTTATGAGAAGCTCGGTTAGCTTAATTTACCAAATCTGAAGTACAAAACCTGTGTGCTCTGTTTTATCCTTCATGTAAACGCAGTCACTAAAATAGCTTTTTATCATTTATCAAATATTGCCAAATTTTAATTAGTTAAGAAGTTTAATTAGTTTAATTAGTTACAGTTAATTTCTGTAATGTTCTTTTTACTGGGCTTCAACAGTCCATCCTGTACAGCTCATAGAAAATGCAGCAGTATGGATCCTAACAAAACAAAACTGAGAGCTCATATCACGGCTATTTTGAAAGAACTGCACTGGCTAGCTGGATCTTTTAGGATAGATTTTTTAGGATAGATAAGTTCAGCTACATTCCCTGCTACAAGTTTTTAAGACGTCAGCAGACTTAGCAGCATCACAGAATGTCTGTCTATGTTCCAGCATGTGATCTTAGATCTGCAGATACTGACCTTCTGCAAACATCTTCCATAAACTACAGAAAACATGGAGAGACTCTTTCAGTTATTCTGCTTCTAAACTGTGGAACTCAAATCCACCTTTGATTAGACAGTCAAACTCAGTGCTCACTTTTAAGAAACATTTGAAATGTATCTCTTTAACTTAGTGTTTAACCCCTTAAAATCCCAGGTCTGTTACACCGAAAGACTAATTATTCAGTAACTACAGGGACTTTAGTGCAAACTGGTTGAGCTATTCTTAGGTTATAGAAGTGTGTGATAAAACTTTGGCCTGTTAAAGGTTAAGTGAAATGCTACGTCTCTTGGTATTTATCTGTTTCATTTGATTGGTGTCATTGATTTTTAAACTAATACTCAGTTTCTGTTACTGTTCTTTTTCTTTTACTGTTAAATCTTTATCACCTGTCTGTAAAGCACTTTGAGCTGCCACCAGTATGAAAAGTGCTCTATAAATTGTTGTTGTTATTATTATTATTATTATTATTATTATTCATAATAATAATTCAAAATAACAATGTTTCCTTATCGCACTAACTAGGACATTTTAATAGTTTGCTAATAATTTAGTAAGCATTTAGAAGCAGACCTTAAAATAGTGCTACCAAACGTTCTTAACTTTAATGTATGTTAATGTACAAGATTTATTTCCAAATACTTTCGGGGCATTTCTGTTGGTCTGATCATCATGAAATATATACACAATGTAAAGTGCTACTTCCAAATAGGCTAATGGTGTTGATATGATATGTACTGCCTTGGTATGGTACAGTAAGTTAGTATATTCTTGGTGGCATGGAGCTCAGACCTGTGGGTACTGTAATGTTTCCATGGTGCTGTCGTAGGCTGAGCGCAGAGAGGCGAAACTGATGAGCACATCCACTTCGGGGTGTTTCTTCATGGCATCTGACATGTTCTTGTAAACAGGCAGCAAAATCTCCTTATGACCCCAATAAAACTTCTGCTTATGGTCTCCACTGCAGGAAGAAACATACATAAAATTCACAACAGGAAGTTTACATGCACGCAGTCATAAAACTGACAGGAGAAGTTCGGAATTACTGTTTTCAATAATATAAAACTTTGTTGCAAATCCATGTATAAAATGGTTCTTATATAATGTTAATATTGTATAGGTTTTAAACTGCTAGTAGGAAGAAAAATGAGGTGATTCTCAATTAGGAGCTGTAGATGATTTCATAATAACAGCTGAGCTGTACAGCATTGAGGGGGTGAAATTTGACCCCTTTTCTTCAGGTATCTTAGCGGCCATTCTGCCAATTGGACCAAGCATTTTCGTATAATGGCCCATATTTATCAAGTCTTTCAAAGTAAGAACACTGATCTAAGATCAGGTTTCATCAGTTCATGTCATTCTTTTCAGTGTTATATAAAAACTGTAGGCTGACCTCAGACTGGCATTCGTACTGTGAGGAGTTTGATAAATATGGGCCAAAGTGAGTATATAAATTGTAGGCTTTGTCCATACATGATGTCAAATGTACAGTGTGAGTCACCAAAGAACAAGATTTCTAAAAATGCTTAGGAGCAATGATTGGTTTAGAATTTGATGTAGGCCTGTGGTCACACTCTTCCTTAGAATCTGACCAATTGTTTATTTATATGACAAATATTATCTAAATAATCATAAATATTATAATAATAATTAAATAATAATAAATATTAAAATAATAATTAAATATTAACATCTAGAAATGATCTTTCCATTTTTCTGTTTTTTTTGTATGTGCTAAAGTTGTGCTAATGTAATGGTTGCTTGCAGTGTAAAGCAACTGTTACTAAGCATCCGGTGCACAGCAGAATGATAGAATTATGAAAAAGTGCTTCTCAACCAACACACACACACACACACACACACACACACACACACACACACACACACACACAAGCAGATAATCATCAACATCATCAGTAAAAAAAAGGTGAAAATCTTAAAAAAAATGCTGCCTAAAACAGCTTTAAACATAGAACTCTTAATGGAGAGTTTTGTGTGCCGATGTGTAGATTATGGCTGTAACGGTTATTAGAACGAGTGAAAAGAAGCTAAACAGCTATGAATAACATGCAGAACGGTTTCCTTCCTCTTTATACTCTACGGCTGAAACTAATCAGCATAATCTGCCACATAGGTTCTGTGGGTTTGCACGTGCTTGCCCTGCTGACTACTCGGTTTGAATTAGTCATGCAGAGACTGCATGCAATAAAAGCTGTGCTTACCACAAGAAAATACCAACCATAAACCACTTGAAGGCATAGTTCAGCAAAAAAGCATCTTTCCCACACTCAGATATGCTTTTTTTTAAATACTGATACAGATTTTTAAAAAATTTGCACAATGCAGCCGATCAGCAAAGACATGTTTGGTCCAGCTCCGGTGCAAAACTAATTAAACAAACTTTATATATCAAACATGTCTTGGAAGTCCGACTATACCTGGGATAAGGAGAAATTGTGTAAATTACATTTGTCAAACCATTTGTGAACAGAATGAGCTGGGGGCTTACGTGAAGGGGTAGACCATGGCTGCCACTGAGGGCTCTTTGCGAGAGCACACATAGTCAAAGTCCAACATTCCCTGCACCGCCCGTGTCTGCATGCCCCACACGATGGCCTTTGTGTGCTTGCTGAACAGAGTGGTAGCTTTCCCTAGAGACAAAAGAGCAAAAAGAACAGAGAAGCACGAATCATAGGTAGGTATGATGTAGGATGGGATTTTTTTGTTTGTTTGTTTCATAAGAAATGTCCTGTACAGACCATAGAGAGCAGTATAAAATCCCTAACCAGTGTCTTCCAGAGCAAGTCAAAAGGCCATCAGCTCATTAAACAAATTTAAGAGCACATAAAAAGGAGTCTAAGTTGCAGTAGGATAACACAATTCCATACACATGGTAAAAACTTAAATAAGAAGGTAGAACACTGTCCTGGTTTGTAGTGCACTTTAAGTGTTTTTAGCAGTTAAATCAAAGAATGTCATGTATTCTGGCTGGCTCTGGTATCTCGCCCCAGTATCAGAGCAGTGTACTACTTAAGCATTATAATCCAACAAAAAAAAGTCCCTGATTACGCACATAGTCCTTCAGGGTTATTTATGTGATCTGGAAGATGTCTGGACTCCAAGGTTACACCAGTAGCAAGGCCAATTACAAAACACCAGGCAAGGATAAGCAGAACTAATTAAGGCACTCATGACCTCAGCTTACCACTTATCTCCAGGAGAAATATTCCATTAATCCTGGCATCATAAAACGCTGCACATAAGCTAGCACGACACGCAATATGTTTCAATACATGATTACAAAAACACAACTACAAGCACAAGTAAAGGTTTACAAACAAGACCTTTTAGGACAGATACACTACGGCATGTAATAGACCTGATACTGATTGGCCAATAACACGTGATAATGCGCCAGTAATTACTTTACTACTTTACTATTTTTACTTGTAGTACTATTTACTAGTACTATTTTACTTTACTAGTATATTTAATAATTACTTTACAAATCAAAAATTAATTTTGATGACAGCACCACTGGGTTTTGAACTCTTATCTCCCAATAATACGGCCAAATCTTTTGTTATAACATGATATGTTTTGTGTGTTAAGAATTCTGGGTATGTATTGGAGAATAAAATTAAATTCTAATGTAGAAATTTTAAAATTATATCGGCTAATATTATTGGTTATCAATCACACAGAAAATTAACAAAATGTGTCATTTGACCAGAGCTGTTCAAACTTTTGCATATGACTGTATATATCTAAAGACATTATAAGTGAAAGGAAAAGGTTCCAAACAGCTTTTCAAATGTCTGGAGTTTCGGTGACTTTCCTATCTGTGCGGCTGCCTATGGGTCAGTGTCGTCCAGCTATACTCAACAACCACCATCATCATCACAACAGCAACAGTAAGAGGACATAAAGATTGTTACTTGGACCAATTCCCTTAGCGGCCTGCAGGGGGAGCGCACAGCCTGATTTAATACTGCATGCCCATCTATTGATGTTCATGTGTGTGCACTGCATCTGTGCCTGTATCTAACCTGGTGGAACCCCTGGTCTGGCCTTTTCTACAGAAGCAAACCCTTCTGTACTCTTCACCTCAGAGAAAGATGCAGTTCTGCTTGAGCTGGGGGTCTGAGAAACAGACAGACAGAAAGAGAGACAAAAAGAATGAGAAAGAGATAGAACAGTAAATGAATTACCAGATGAAAACAAGGTAAATGCACCCCCTCACTTTTCTGGAAGGGAGAAGGAGATGAAAACTCATCAGACATCTTTCTCATCACAAGCAAAAACATAAGTTAGTGGTGTATATCACTATGCACATTATGAAAATGAAATGCTTTCACTGCAGAATAATAAAGTAACTGGTAGCCAAATCAACAGGGAGTTCAATCAAATTTGGTAATAAACCAACATTAAACACTATTAAATGATAAGTTGGTCAAAAACAAAACATATGAGCCTGGGATGTCACAACATGCACACAAGTGAATTTAATTGGCATACTGGCAGTGAAACATTCACATAGTATATCTTATCTAAATAATGTAGTTCATCAATACTGGATCCAATTCAACCTGTGTACTCGGATTGGTACATCCCAATGCTCAATATGGGCAAAACAATATTCCAATCATAAATGCTACATAGTGCAATTGCAATCTAGCTTCCAATATATTCAAAAGACCCCTTCATGTGATATCATCAAGGACCGTTGTGCATTAATTATTGTGCTTATTGTGAGTGTGAATGTCTTGATGCATCTAAACAAGCAAATAACATCTCTGATTTGTCAATAACATCTCTGATTTGTCACTCCCATGCGATATCAGTATGGTTTACAGAACAATATACTGTGCAGCCCTACTAGGTAACGTGATTCTACAGTAATGTGCACAAAGACATTGCCTTGTTCAGCAATTTTTTGACCAGGCATCATTTGGGGCACGGACTTAGGAATCTTTAAAAAAAACGGAAATGAAAGAAAGAGGAACAGAAACAATAAGAATGCACTTCACTGAACAGCGCTGCTCAACTGACATCTAATGGCACGCTGCAGGCTACACGAAGCTTTACTGCCAACACAGCAGCTTTTCAAACTGAGGCCTTCTGAAAATGACCGCCCCCTGAGGGCAGCACTGTTCTGAAGTGTAGAGATGTAGTAGTGCTAGTTGCGGTGGAAAGCTTTGTATGCATCAGGTTCAGTTATATGTTAGCTTTGCCTGACCCCAACATGCCACAAAGAAGAACTGTCTTTGGACTTGATCAAATTAGGAGCAAATTGTGTAAATTTAGTAAACACAAACAAAAAGATTCATATGTAGTGCACATACACATGCTACAGCATGCAAAGAAATTTTAGACAACTATATTCTTTCAATTTTGTGCCAACACTTTGAGGAAGGCCCTTTTCCTTTTTTCCAGAGTGGAAGCTGTTATAGCCACAAAGAGGGGTCAACTCCAAATGAATGCCCATGGTTTGGGAATGGGATGTCCAACAAGCTAAAATAGGTGTGATGGTCAAGTGTTCACATACTTTTGGCCGTTAATTGTATATGTCAAGTGGAGCTGATAAAATGGACAATGAGTGTAGCTACAAGGTAGGTGTGCTTAATACAGTGGCCAGTGATTGCATGGAAATACATATACAAGCACTTAAAGAGGTGTCCTGTTGATTCAGAACACTGTCCTGCATATGTACAAAAACATACACAAAAACACACCGAAGAGTTGCTACTGGTGTTCAGCAGGAAATTGGCGGTATGGGCAGCGACGCGTGGCTGAGTGGCAATTGGCCGATGGCCCAGAGCCATTCCAACGATGGCAGTCATGTGGGTCTCAGTGCCAAAGACATGGATGGGGATGCCTGTGGTTTTGCCTAAACACATACACACAAAGCTCTGTCACATGAACACATGAAAAGTCAATCAAACAGCACAGTCTGAGTCTGGAGGGTATTCTACAAAGCAGATTTTCTCAAAGCAGGTTTAGGCTGAATAACTCGGTGTCTTGGTCAGTCTTAAGGTAGCTTAAAGCCCCAGGGAACTTAAGTGTGTGTTTTCTTTCCATGTAGGTTACTAAGTAGTAATCTTGCTCTTGTGGCCACACAAATACATATGCACTGCATTTATGTCCTGTGAATAACTTTACAATGTCCACTAAATGGCAGGAGTACTTTGACAAAATTCTGCTTTTTTGAAGTGAACTGGACGTTCCTAATTTTGAGTAATGTGTATGTAAGCAGTCTCTCACCATTCACAAAGCTGATGTGGCTCCTCCCACCCACACAGCTTTAACTACACAGTCTGTTTGTGTTTGAGTCAGAGGAACTGACCAAGAAACAAACGAAAGCTAACCAAAAATGCATAGCTGAGCTATCAAGTTAGCTCATCTGTCTGCCTGTTATCAGTCTCCATCTGCTTGTTCATTCCAGGATTTTCTAGATCCAGCGGTAAACTGAAAAAGAACATTCCTTAAGATGTCGTCGCATAAAAGGCTTATTAGTGAGTGGACACAGCAGGGTCTACAATAGCACCTGCATATGTAGAAGCCATTTCACTCATTTCTCTTTCCACTTGGGCTGCTGTGTTTAGCTCTGCTTCAGAGGAGTGTTGGACTGAGGGCTGTCAATCAAACATGCTCATCGTAATATCAGGCCATGCACAGACAGATCTGAGATAGACCTGACAAAGGTTTTTTAATGCTGTGTTTTATTATGTCTGTATCTTGTTTCTTCCATTCAAACTTTGCTGTACGTTTATTGCAGCACTCAATTTTAGTATATTTTTAAATATTTTACACTGTGTTCCCTGGGACTTAAAGGTCCTGCTACAAATCCTGCTCTGTGAAATACTTTCCAGTTTAGAACATGACAACGCTGGATGCTCTTTCTTGCGCTCTCTAACATGGACACACATTTGCACACACATTGACGTACCCACTTCTCCCATTACTCTCAGACCCTCCTGGTAGTTTGGGCCACCACGTCGCACAAAGATGCTGACCTCATGCTCCTTCAGAGGCTCCTGATAGTCTCTGATTGCCCTGACAATACCCTACACACACACACACACACACACACATAGAAAATTAAGAAACTTTGCACACAATTCATATCATGATACCTGAGGTTTGATATCCACAGCTTTCCATTCTCTACCTTAAATGTTGCGGCTACATTTGTGAAGTTAGCGATGCTTCCTCCAATGATCAACACCTTCCCTACAGGAAAAAGCACACACAACAGTTTTTCACTCTGTTCCCAACATGTGATGCTGTGAATGTGGATTCTTCATATGTAGATTTGGTAGGTGGGGGCGTAGCCAAGGCGTGGCCAGCTCCACCTTCACATGAAGCATGGCCATCCTTCTGGCCACCCCAGTTTAACAAAGTGGAGCCGTTAGCTATTATCAATGAAGGAGTCATCTCAGAATAGTGTTCCCATCTACCCCGTGTGAATGGTTACGATCACAATCAGTCTAGTTCAAAACCAGTTACAAGTCTGATTATGCTGCACTCAGTAATCAGCAAAATCTTGCTGTGATAGGCTACTTCACAGACAGATATGTAACAAACAGACATGTGAATGAATGCTAAAAATGTTGCTTTCTTGCTTAATGAAGCAGTTAACACTGGCATTAGACAAAGGAAAATACAACTAGTTGAAAAAAGCAACTAAATAAATCTGTACATCAACATACTAAAACATTTTTTGTGCTACATTACATGCTGTGGATACATAACTCTAACTGAAAATGTAAAAAATGTTCAGCAGAGATCAGAAACGGGATAGGGACTAAACAAAATATTTTTCACATAACGTTATGAAAAACAGGAAAACAATGATAAAATGTATTTTAAAAAGTGGCTATTAATTTTTATTATTATGTAATAATAATAAAATAAGAATAAATTTTATTTATATATCACTTTTCATGCCTTTTCAAAGTGCTTTACAGACAGGTGATAAAGTTTAACAGTAATACAAGAAATTATGAGTACTAATTTAAAATCATAAAAGAAAATGACACAGATCAAATTAAAAGATAAATACCACAATACACAGAGTTTTCACTTTTAAATGTTTCTTAAAATTGTGCACTGAGGTTGGCTGTCTAATAAAAGGTGGAATTTTAAGAAAGGTGGAATTGAGTTCCACAACTTAGAAGCATAACAACTCAAAGAGGCCTCTCCATGTATGTTATTACCACAGTTCTGTCCTTAGCTTTTCTAAATTTTGGCAATAATTGTGTACAATATTCTATTAAAGAGAACATTATGTACAGAATTATGTAAATTTAATGCTTGTCTTTTACGTAAGGCCTGATATACAAACAGGTAAACCTTATTATCTGCTCTTCAGGTTTATTTTTTTCTAGTAGTTTGCCACCCCGATAAATCACAGGGTCTATACTGGACATCATACTGAAAAAGCTCAAGCTATGCCCCCGAAATTTCGCAGTATAGTTATACAGTGATTATGGCTACAGTCACATTACAAGCCGTATTGATAAATTCCAATTTTTTGCTCTGATCTTTATGTCTTGACACTTAAAACTGGTTTTTGTTAAGGTCATGTCTACACTTAGTATTAACATCCATCTTGAGTTATCTGATCACATGTGGACAGTGAGACATACAGCCGTTTACACATGGTAGTTTTGTCTCTGCTATGATGACACAGCTGATCCTTCAAAACTCTTAGAGACATATTTGGTGTTTGCACTACAGGGTGATTTGAGTTACTGGATCAATGCATCTCCAAGATGCACTGGACTCCATTCACACCTGTACTTAGCGCTGTCCACATATGACTGGATCACCCAGGATGCACGCTAATACCAGGTGTGAACAGGACCCAAATCTGTCATCAGTGTGAAAACACCAGTGCCCTGAAATGACCTGCATGCACAAATACAGGCCTATATCATTAGCCATGGTTGTTAGCCACTACTTGCAGACAACAGTGGTTAGCTAATATTTATCCAATCTAAAAGCACAGAAAAAATGGATCACATCAGATTTGAAAGGATCAGACTGTTGAGTTTAAACAAAATGCAAAATCTGATTTGTACCACATCAATCCCATAATGTACACATAGCATATGATGCTATTTCATGCTGTTGACATTAGGACGTACCATTGGGGTGTTTCTCTCGGGTCATGAGGGAGAGGATGGTCTTGGCATAGTCGTAAGTCTGCTGTTCACTTGGAGCACCTGAATACTCTCCGTAATTGGCCAGCTCATTGACTCCGCCCAGGTCACAGATTGTATCACTATGGAGACAGAAAAAAATACCAATTTAAACTAAAGTCAACAGCAAAACAGTGAAAATCATCTCTCTGATCTCCTCAAACTCCAATACTTCAACTTTGTCATCCCAGTAACATATAGAGACCCAGGCCAGAGCACACCAACCAAACACCACAAGCTGTTTAGAACGTCCAGAAAATGAACTGATAAACGAAATGAACCAGAGCACTCAGGATCACAGGCTCAACAACGATTTCAGTTTGTTGTGTTCTCTGGTTAGAGGTGGGCAGTATGATCACTGTAATACATTTTGTATTGTAAAACATTTCTTTTGTACTTGTAGATGACATTTCTGCATAATTGAATCTCTGAGACATAAGCAAAGTCATTCAGAGTGGTTTGACGGGAAATGGTTAATTGAAGAGAAACCTCTTTACAATGGTGGTGATAGGAACCAGGGATCATGATGTCTACAATGCAAATACAGCCATTTTGTTTACTATTCAATTCTCGAGTGAACCTGAACACAACTTTTGAGTTTTTATCTATAATGTTGATGATGGTAAAATAGTAATAAGTTTTCTTTGGGCACTATTTTGCATTACAACACCCTGCATGTGCTTCTCCACCAAGAATACATTTTAAATAAATAAATAAGTCATAAGTTTCTTTGATGTAGCTTTAAGAGGCATTAAACTCTTCAGAAATCTGGTTCCTATTACTATCGCTGTTGAAATTCTGACTGGTTAATTTTTCTAGAACAAAGCATTTCACATCAAACCACTCTGAATGTCTTTGTTTACATCTTAATGATTGAGTTTCACACATATTTAAAAAAAAAAGAAAAAAAACTTGTGGAACTGCCATTTAAAGAAAATCATCATACAGTTTTTGATGGTACTTTTTAAATGTGCCATTTTTTATTTTGTGTCCAAATATCAGGGTATGTATAGTGTATCATGACAATGTCTATCAGCATTGTGATAAAAGATTTTTCCATATTACCTTCACCTAGCTCTGGCCTTATACATTAGCATTCAAACATCTGGAATCATAGTTCAAAAATGTAGGTTCACTGTTTTCAATAAACTAAAATAATAAAAAAACTGCAGATAAATGTATGATATTCTGATGCTACTGCTCTACAACTGCACAGGAGTTCTATTAATATGAAGCTGTGAAAAAGAAGAAACGTTAGATGTGTCCAGAATGACTGACAGAGCTTTAGATGATTCCATAATACCTAAGAAATCTGTATAACACTGAGAAAAAAGTTATACTAGAAATTAACATGCAGAAGGTTATTTGAAAAGTGGCTCAGGTATGTAACTGTAAATAAATAATTACAGAATGCTATGTATCAATTAATAACATCTTGGTGCTCCCAAAAATCTTGAAATGTTGATTGAAATGCTGTCCATGCAGTTGATTGAAATGCTGTCCATCTACACCGTATGAGTTATTATTAAATGATTAAATAATGTAACATTTATTGACAGATTACAGTAATACATTTCATATACTTAATTTGTTTCCATATACAAAATGAGGTCAGACAGAATCAGATTTCCTTCAAATCATCCAACATTAGTTCATACAGCTGTTACAGATTTACTCCCTATTAAGGCTGAAATGGAACATTGTTTTGCCTTGTTTACTACTACTAATGTAAAGTCCACGCACTGCAATGTCCACAACTGCCAAAAACTAGAACTATGCACTGGCATTTAAATCCTACATTTTCAACGGCAGAGACTTCTATCGCTTTTGAAGTATATGACTCCTCTAAAAATAATTCAAATGCACTTGTTATTTCAAAAAAGTGACTCATTTGACTCGAGGAAAAGGACACAACGTCTAGTGTATTTGCAGTTCCTGAGAAAGCAACACATGCATTCCTGAGGTACTTTTCATGGCACTTAACTTTCCACATAACTGAGTGAGCACATCAAGGTAAAATGAGGGTTCCTCTGTGAGACGACACCACACACACACACACACCTGTACACACACCCTAATTAGTCCTGCCACACTCTCTGGTTCCATCTTTTGACAGACGGAGAGAGGGAGTATTGGTGTAACAGTAAGCTCAGACCTCATTCCTCCAGACAGTGCTTTCTCAGGCATGACTGGCTAATGGAACTCAGCTCTCTGAGTTAATGAGCACCAGCATCTGCCACAGTGCTACAGTTTTCATAGCTCATATAAGGAGTTCACACTTAGAGAGGAATAATCAGTAATCAAGCCTAAGTAACCATATTTGTTAGCAAGTCATTCATAAATACCAAGTATAAATTATGCTTGAATAAAAACACTTCATTCCATTCGCAGGTTGCAATATCTTGAAATATTTGGTATCTACAGTGAGGGGAAACAGGTTTCCAGACCCTTTTATTTTGGTTATTCAATATACGTCCAGTGCATTAATCCACTTCAACCTTACAGACGTAATGTCTTCTGATGTTGTACATATAAATATGAACAAAAAAGTATGTTTTCATAAGCATAAACAAAGATATGTCTGAAAAAAACGAAATGTGAAATGAGATAAATATTATGACGCCACAAATGAATGATATTAGTACTTTGTTACACAGCCTCTTTAAATTTTCAAAATGGGATTAAAGTCAGGAGATCGGCTCGGCAATACGAGCAGCTTCACCTTTTTAGAGCAATTTAGAGATATTTTGGCTGTTTGTTTGGGGTCTTTGTCTTGTTGAAACCTCAATCTTCTCCCCTTTCTTGGCTGACGAGATAAAATTCCCCTCTAATATCTCCTGGTACATCACCCTAATGTTGTTTCCTTCAATAACGTGTAATGTCCTAGTATAGTTTGCAGAGAAGCAGCCCCATATCATGATGCTCCATACTTTATCTAATCCATGATTGCAACGTGTTGTGTGATATCTTTCCAACCAATGGCAATGTCTTTTATAACGACACCAATTTTTATTTGAATTAATATATTACTACACAAAAAATATTTTCATTGTTATCTTTAGATATATGCATGTTTTAAGTGTCTGAGTTCTTTTTAAGTACTTTTTAAATATTCATTTAGATTTTTAAATCTTTGTTTATACTTATGAATACATCTGTTTTTGTTCATATTTGTAAGTACAAAGTCAAAAGACATTAAGGGTGAAGTGGATCTACACACTGGAGGAGTGTCTGAATACTTTCCCCTCACTGTAACATCTACATATCGCTGCTGTCTGAGGAAAACCTTGCATCTCCATTTTTGTCGTTTTTCAGTTTTTGACATATTTTGTAAATGCCTGTTGATCTTTACATTGTTTACAAATTTCATGATGAATGGACCAAAGGAAACGGCCCAAAATGACTTGGAAAAATGTCTGGTTCCATTGACTTACATTAAAAGTAAAGTAGGTTTTTTCCTTCTCCTGTAAAGTTACCATTTTGAGATATGAGGTTTTCTTCCAACAACAGCGATATATATATATATTTATATATATACACACACACACACAATATATATATATATATATATATATATTTATATATATATATATATATATATATATATATATATATATATATTTTTAGACAGAGTGCTAGGCAATATGTAAAATGAGGAAATCAGACTGCCGCTGTACCTGTACACAACTGAGGCTCCGCCCCCTGCCACCATGGTCCAGATACGTCCGCGGGGGTTAAGCAGAGTGAGTTTAAGACTGGCACCACTTTTAGCATCCAAATCTGCTATATATGCTTCCTATTGGGGAGAAACATTACACAAATATTAACACGGACAGCAGTGATGATCAATAAACAACGGTACATAAAAGAACGTTGCTCTACAGTTAGTTCCGAGCTTGCAATGTGAGTGTGAATAAGTGCCAGTTTGCCCACATAATGGCACTTGGATCGCACTGTAAAAACCTCTTTAGGCATAACTCTTATTCAACTGTACCCCAGCTGCTGACACTGTTTAACACAACTATTTTTCTTAGCTGAATGTAACTACACACTTGACAGGAGGTTGGACACAAATTATAAAGGTCCTTCATCAGATTTGCTGACTATATACCTGACTGGAATATAAACTTCAACAGCTAGGCACAGCATAGAGAATAATAAATTATCCCCCACATGATGAACAGCAAGAGACACAGCTGCACTGTGTGAGGCACCTCGGCCAATCAAAGGCAAGCTCACCCACCCATCCATCTGGCACAACAGTCCTCCATCTGATGCAAGACCAGAACCTCATTTGCTGTGTATGTGTATGTGTGTATATAAACTGCAAGCCCAATGAATCCTGTCAGTTTGTCACAGCTGACCAAAATGAGCATGTGTGCACTTACATAGGCCAAGAAAACACTGCCCGATCTGCCAGCAGGCAAAAAATGACATAAATATCACTGTGTTCAATAGCAGATGCACTGACAGCTCAATCTCATTACAGCCACAGTACAACATCCGTATCTACACACTCTAATCGACACGCACTACTTCCTTCTATCATGTAGTGAGGCAATCCACCAGCACCAGACACTTTTCCTCATACATAACATACACAGGTGGCAACGTGAATTATACATATCTAATTAAATATTAAAAACATTTTTCTTTGTAAGTGGAATTAAATGTATTAATAAACATGGTGGGGAGCTTTGTGCTTTGTGCTTCCAGTGAGCCTGCAACAAATAAAGGAACTGTATGCAGCATGTGTCATTTTTTGAGAGTGATCAGTGTCAACACATTTAAATTTTTTTCCCCTAATTTAGAGTTTAGTTTGTTTGTGTCTCTTACCTCAGGGTAGGCCTCTCTGCCGAATGGAGGGGGAAACTCCACGTCACCCCATTTAGCTTTACACAGATAATCAGCCGTAGCATCAATCTTAGCAGCCATGTCCAATACATACACTCCATTTTTCGTCACCACTGAGAAAAAGAAAGACAGAGTTTAAAATGTACGTTACCTTTTGTTATTATAATCAGTGTGCAAAAGTTTGGGCACCCTTGGTCAAATTATACACAAACACACACACACACACACACACACACACACACACACACACACACACACACACGCCTCTGGGTGGTCAAATTACATTTGTTGATTTCCTTAATAAAAATAAGTGAACACATCCTCTACAGAGAAAACATTTCTGCACATTTTAATGCACAATTCCTGTTTATTTGCTGAATTTAATATTTGATGTTTTATTGTTCTCCCAATATGTTAAAGTGAATAAATAAATAGTAATTATGCACTAAAATTTACAGACAAATGTCAACTTCAGTTAGTTCCCTGTAAAGGGTACATTAACATATATGTACTTAATAATCAGCAAAATATGTAATTTGACCAGCAGTGTTCAAACTTTTACATACAACTGTACTATTCATACTGTACTTATTATTATTATTATTATTATTATTATTATACCCAAACTAACCCAAAACTAGGGTATAAGAAATATTATACCCAAACTAGGTTACTGTAATCAATATTTGTTACTTATAATTATGAGCACAATAACACTGTCTGACTATTATGCTGTTTTCCTTCATATCAATGCTACATATACATAGTCATACACAAAGTGGTGGACTAGATTAGATCATGAACAGGTCACTCAGCATTCTGTAAATGTTTCTCAGGAGGTGATAAGAAAATAGCATGACAGTTCAGCATGATCAGCATGAGTAATCATAGAGGATTGTGATCAGCATGATCAGTGTGCATGGGAGTCTCTGAGATTATGCAGGGGTCTCTGTCTGCCATACGTATCTATACCATCGTACGTGAGTAAGCATCTCAGAACTAATGCAGGGAGACCTATCAAGCTATATTTAGACACATGAATTAATTTGGAAAGGAACTTCAAAGTAAGTGAAGGAAATGGAGGAACAGATGCTCCAGGGCACAAACCACTGCCTAATTACTACTGAAACCACAAACTGTCTCTGTGTAAATCATTCAGGAGTTTATCCCTCCTAGTCATCTAAATCAAATAAAACTCTCTCTCTCAGGACTAGGAAAAATACTGTGACTGTCTTAGTCTGCTTTGATCAATTAATGACGTCAATTTAAGTTAATAATGTATGCAAATCATATCTTAAATCAGTAGCAGCAGATTTTCTATTTTTTTTAATCTATTGATTTAAATAAACTGAATAAAAAAATAAACTGGCTTCTAGAGCTCATGGAAACATGAATTATTTGAAAAACATTCTGCTAGAATAAGGGATTCTGGGGAGGAGTCCTGACTTTTAAAAATAAAGGTGTCAAAGGAGCTCTGTGGAGCAATTCCAGAGAAGAACCTAAAAGAACACCTCAATTGATTGTTCTTTAAAAAATTACTGTAAATGAGATAAAGGAGTGTGAGTGTGAAGAACTTTTCACTCTCCTTTTAGTCTCAGGGGTGGTATCCCTCAAGAATGCCTTTAGTTAGGGAACATAATTGCACCATATTCCATCTATACAGGGGTCTTCAACACCAGTCAAGAAGGGCTGGATTCCTGCACAGTTTGGGAATTTTCTTACTCAGACACACCTGATTCAATGCATCAGTTAATGTCCAGCTACACTGTTTGTGTTTGAGCAGAGAAACTACCTGTGCTGGACAATGGACCTCCAGGACCAGAGTTGAACACCCTTGTTCTCCACTAATTAAAGGTTTTTCCTAGAACTATACATCCAAGTTGAAGAACCAATTAGGAACCTTGGCCTTTAGGTCCTGTGTTGCTCTAACATACTTGTCAAAAATTGCTGAATGATCTGCTAATTAGCTGACGGGTTACATGCTCTGGAAGCAGCTGTTCCAGGACCACAACTGGAAAGTGCTGTAGGTGATGTGGGAGGTGGTGATTTGAGCATGATGAGGTTGGCTAGAATCGAGACTCACCCAGAGGGTTGATCTCCAGGTAAGTGAAGTATAGATCCTCATACAGGTTAAACAAACCCACCAGGAAACTGGTCAGTACCCTGCACAGACACCAAAACAAGACAGTTCAGATGCCGTATACAAATGATTAAAAAATAGACATCCTTTGCTAAACGCCACAATGCTACTAAATTGTAGAATATAGTTAAATACAGTATATAGTCAAAACTATACTGTTAATTTATGATTAATGTAGGAGTAAAAGTGTGGTTACCTCTGTGTGTGTCTAATGACACATAAATAGACTGAGCAATAGATTTAAATGCTTTGGCAAAACTACATTAATACAGTCATGCCAGTAACCTTCTTTGTAATGATATATACTATGCCACTTTGTTGAGGTACATTATATCAGCACTTCTGATTTTATGGCACACATACTGGACAACACTTCTTAAGTACAAGTAGAAATCATTTTGGCAAAATAATGTAGTTATGTATTAACTGAAGTTTTGGGGGGAGGAACATGCTTGAAACCCCTCCTTATCCCAATCTAAAGCCCTACAAATTCACATCTTCACCTTGCGCTCCTCTGACAAAGTTTTCTGCCTTCCAGCTACAAGCAGAAACTGCCCAAAACCCCTGCCCAAGTTCTCAGAGTTCTCCCCCCTCCCTCAATCAGTCTTCCCTCACACTACCACCACATGCTGAAGGCATGGTCCAACTCATATATTAATATTGAAGTACAAGTATTTTATCTGTTTTTCTATTGGAGTAAAAGTACAAAAGTACTTGCTTGTGCATGTACTTCAGTACCAAATACCGAAGTTCAAAAAGTCTAATAGATGTCTAATAACTCAGTATTAATTTATAATCAAGTACTTTTGTACTTTTACCCAATGTAAAATATAGATCAGTACTTAGTAATAAGTAGTATTTTACCAAACATATTTATACTTTTACTTAAATACTGAATTATTGTACTCTGTCCACCCTGGAATATATGTTTGTGAAGTAACCTTAAAAAGAGTAGAGTACAGTAATATAGAGGTATGTCTAATACGCATATTAGATTCCTGCTCTCAGTCTGGGGTTTAAGCTGGAACAGCTGGGGTTCAGTCTAGTGAAGAGAAATAGAGATGGAGATGGAGAATGAAGAGAGAAAAAGGAAGAGACAGAGAAAGAGAGCGACAGAGTTGGTGTTAAATGAGGTAGAGAAAATGAGTGAGCAGTAAATAATTAGAAGAGAAGTAGAGAATTTAAAAATACATCAATAAATGCAGAAATGAAAAACAAGTAAACAAACAAAAACATGAGTTGTTTATTTTCTGGTAGGGAAGCAGACTGCTACGCCACGCCTCAGAGAGCGTGCTTTACACAAGAGGATCAAGAGCTGACAGAGCTGAGTAACTGCTGGGAGGGATGGAGAGAATGAAGAGAAGAGGGAGGGAAAGTAAAAATGAGAGGCAAGATGGTGAATAAAACAATAAAAAAAACATAAACTGCACCTGTACATCAGTATATACAACCACATATAAAAAGGAAGAGAAATATCTCACATTTTACCTTTTCTAGTGTAAAGAGAGTGATGGTGAGGGCATGGCGGAGGAGTGCATTTGTTCTAGATGAAGTGTTTGTGTGTGCGTGTGTTGTGTTTGTCTAGTGTGCAGAGTCTGTTGCCTCTGGTCCATTACCCTCTTGAGAGATGGGCTGAGACTGATTTTCATAAAGCAGAAACAAGACTGAAGGAGGGCAGAGCGAGCGAGCGAGCGAGCGAGCGAGAGAGAGAGAGAGAGAGAGCGTTTATTGAATAGTCAATCTCAATGTCAGCCAAGACAGTGAGTACAGCCAGAAAGAGGTGTGTGTGTGTGTTTGTCTCATCTATACAAGAGACAGGCAGCAGGTACGTGATCCGAATAAGGTTAAAATAGAGAAAGGGAAACGGAGAGAGAGAGACAGAGAGAGACAGAGAGAGAGAGAGAGAGAGAGAGAGAGAGAGAGAGAGAGAGAGAGAGAGAGAGGGAGAGAGAGAGAGAGAGAGAGAAAATTTCATTTGTCTAATGGAACTCCCCCACACCCAACGCTAAGTCAAAGTGTATGATGGGTAAAAGCATCATCTCCCCCTTCTGTTTTCTTCTTTTCCCTTACTCATCACCTCTTGCCTTCTTCAGATGAAAATATTTGCTCAGTTGTGCTCAGTGTTACTAAGCTCTTTTGAGAGATGAACATTCCTAACAGTAGTGGTGCATTTGCGAGTGATAAACAGCATTAGTGTTGTTTTTTTTATCACTGTTTCCATTTGTAACTTACGATGGAAATGAATGTAACATTTTTTCCAAGTAATTTTGGAATTCTGTTTGTCCATTTGTCATGCATATTGAACACAATGTAAAGGTAACTGGAGTTTTCGAATGATGAAAAAAGTTAAAACCGGCAAGAAGATACAAGAGATACAAGGTTTTTGCATGTCAGCGACAAAGCCAGATACAAAACTGAACTAAATATTTAAATAATAACTAAACAGCTATTATATAGTTGTTGGTTTATTGAGCTGCATTTGTCATGATTATTGCTCTATTTTGAGCTTTTTTTGTAATGAATTTTACTGAATGAATGTGTCTCTAACTACTACTTTGAATATGGGACTCAAAAAATACACATGATTATCATTAGTTCTGCTAGCGAGCTAAAAAACAAAACAAACAACCTGAAATCAAAATTTACATTGTTAGTTCACGTCCTTGGTCAAATTAAGCACAATCCATTATGTCATATCATTCAAAAGACTGTAGTGACTGCTGCCTCTAAACAGTCACTGTGTTTCCATGGCAGGGAAAATTGATACAAACCTATAATATCTTAGCTTGTGGTCCCTTCTCCTCCCTCCATTGACCACACAACAAAAGAAAACACCATCATCAACTCTGCTCCCGGCCGCACGTACATGCATGTCAGCTACCCCCTATGGATACCCTGCTGCAGATGCCCTCCCTTCCTCTGTTCACTTTACTCCCTTACTTTCATTTTCACAAATGACTCATCTTCATTTTGTTTTGGAACGCCTGCTTTTCACGATCCAATCAAATCCTGAAGAATAAAATCATGTCCTGCCCGGAATTATTTCCCACCTGAATATGACTGACCATATTTCAAGATCTGTGGTCTTTCTTTTGGCCATGAATGAAGAGGGGCTTGAGAGTGTGAGACTAGTGCTTAAAGCTTAAAGCAAGTTCTTTTATTCTTGCTCAAATCATATCCACCTCTCCGTGCTCAATCTTTTGCCGTGCTGACACTCACTCTCTTTTGTCTGCTGGAGCGTGCGTGAGGAGTTTCTGTTTGACAAAATCTGGGCGGAGCTTCTCGTCCACGCCCACCAGCAGCTTCTGAGCTTTAGAGTCGACATCACCCACATCGACCCCGCCCTCATGATGAAACAACACATAATCCCCCTCACGCGCTGCATAAATACATACATAAAACTCCTCCTCCTGAAAGAGAAAGAGGGAGAGACAAAGAAACAGAAATCAGAAAATTCTTATGTAATTAGTTTATAAAGTGTGAATCACAGTCGGATACTCTGACGCCTCCGTCATACGATGGAAAACATTTGTAAATACTTTCCAGCTCATTCTGGTTTGACAGCAACTATTACAGATTGTCGTAGGAAGAAGAAGAAGAAGCGTTTGGCTCTTTGTTTAAAACATGCATAATAAAGCAGAGATGACTGCTTCCTGTGAAATGATCCTAAGGCTAAACTCTTAAGAACTCATTACACATTCTCTTTCATGCAGATTAAATCAGGGCTTCACCTGCTTATGAGCGACAAAAGGCTCTATCAGGAAGTTCTTCAGGATGCCGTTGGCCTTCCCCACCTGAGACACAGAGAAAAGAGTTAGTCATCAGCTTTGGGCCAGCATGCAGAGAGAAAAAGATCTGAATAACTTAGAGATCCTCAAGTGATTTACATGATGATTGAAGGTACATTAAGGTACATTACACTGAAGGTCTCCTTAAACTTTAAATCTGCCCTTAGAGTAGTTGGTGTGCGTTCATGTCCACTCCGGTCAGAGAAAAATGGATCAGCATGTGGAACTGGAGCTTTCTGTAGGCTCCTGCGATTTCTAGCACTGGTTAAAAGAGGCTCCATGCTGTCTTTTTTGTTGGGTGTGCTGTGATAATTACTGCACACATTCAAAATGCTGCTTACATCACTATGAATTTGCTGTTACTTTGTTAGTATTGATTTGTTGCATCAGAATGTTATACCAGAGTAATATATATATATATATATATAAATATATACACACACACATACATATATATATATATATATATATATATATATTCATATTCATACATCTCGAGTTTCAAACGAGTAGCTTGTGACACATACAAAATAAAAATCTAAATCAACAACAGCACTGAGACACTGATGTTAACAGAGAAGAGTACATTAAATATCAGGAAGAAGCACTTTTTGTATTGAAACTAAAGGAACAACAAGTGCGCTTTGTCTTTTCAGTGACTTTTTTAATCAGAGCATGACTGATGCAACTTTTGGCTGATAAAACTATTGCCAATCATCACAATTATCTATATCCATAATTATCCATTATCCACATTCACAATGTATATTTGAACAATTCATTCCAAAATGTTGTATATCCATTTGTAACAACTTTAGATACAACAAGTTTTCAAAAAAGAAAAAAAGTGGCGTATAATGGAAAAAAAAAGTTTTTCTTTCTCTAATAAAGGGGGTATTATTAAGTAATAGAACACGAGAGGGAGTGTGTTATCGCGAGATAGCATCACGCCTGTGATTTGGTCGCAGGCACGAGCTGAAGGCGATAACACACGACCTTGAGTGTTCTATTTCTTTTATACAACAGTTAAATAAATAAAGTAAGAAATCAATGAATTGGGTCGTGAACGTGGCATTTAATATGTTTTATTGTTAGCAATGCCTTCCTCCAAATTATAGTTCCTTAACAAGCAGCTTGTTGCTACGTCAGAGTAACGAGCTCCGCTCACTCGCTGCACAGCCGGCAGTTGGTTCTCCAGCTCCACACACAGACCAACTGACAGTTTGGGAATTTTGTGTAGTCTCATCTTCAGAGTCTGACCAAATCGGCTGAACCAATGACAGTTTTCGTATCAGCGAAGCCCAAATTTAATTAACACCTAACTGAAGGCAGAAGAAAAGCCGAGAAAAGAAAAAAAAGTACTGTGGAGAGGAACTGTGTACAGAACACAGTCACACAGTCTAGTGGCTTTGTGTTTCTCAACAGCATTTACACTTGAAGTGACACGCCAAACTACAGCTTAATGACTGGACCTAACCGCTCAGGCTTTCACAAAGGAAAAAAAAAAAGAAAAACTGGACAGTCATCGCTGCAAGCAACACACACACACACACACACACACACACACACACACAAATCTCATTTGCTGCACAGTCACAACAGCGGAGCGAGAGGGCTCCAGATATAAATCAACAGGAGAAAAGCAGCGAGGAGAGGTGACATTTCAGAGAGAGTGAGGGAGGATGACGAGGCGGAGAAATGAAAAGCAGAGAAAACGGAGTCAAGAGCCTCCAGGGACAAGAGTCCATTTAGAGAGAGGCACATTACAGAGCTACAGTACAAAACACTGAATGGGCTGAAGGGAAAAGGGGAAGGAAAGGAAGAAAAGGAAGGAAGAAAGAAGGAAAAAAGCAGTAAATCAGGAACGAAGAAAGAACAAAAGAAAAAAGAATGATAAAACAAAAAGAACGAAAGTAGACAAAGAAAAAAGAGAAAAGAAGGGAAAGAAAAATGGAAGAACAAAAAAGAATGTCATAAATATACTATTATAAACAGTCGTGTGCAGAAGTTTGGGCACCACTGGTCAAATGACGTGTTTTGCTGATTTTCTAAGTGCAAATAAGTGAACATATCTTTTACAGAGAGGATGCACATTTTAATGCACAGTTACTGATTATTTGTTGAATTTAACATATTGGGGGAAAAAATAAACATAAAATGTGACCTGTGAAAAAGTCATGGCACATTTTATATTTTTTGTTCTTTTTTCCCAATACATTAAACTCAATTAATAAACAGTAACTGTGTATTAAATATTGTGCATATTTATGTTTGTAGAGAATGTGTTATATTATTGACATTTACATGTAATCTGACCACTGTCCATTTTATCAGGTCCACGTGGTGCACTGCAGTTCACCTGTTTCTCTGCATACTTTGTTAGCCCCCTTTACTGATTGCGGATAAACACTACAGTCTATAGTATGTAATCGTTCAACTGAACTACAAAGTGTACCTATACAGTAAGTGAATCTGATATAATCGACAGTGAATGCAGATAAGATAGTGAGTGCTGAATTGAGTGCAGTTTCTTTGTGCATTTGAGCCTCTATGGCGCTTTGAAGCTGGAAGGACTTCATCACATCAATCCTTATTTTCAGTGTCACACATCAGCTGGCTTTCTGCTCACTGAATGATGGACACTGTCACTCTCAGTCTTTTTCCCCATCCATGCAGACAGACTGTGTAATGCATAGTGTAGACATGTGTGACCTTACCGTGGCCTCTTTCATCAGACGAGGTTTGAGCCATTCTTTCACCCCCTGTAGATCTAGATTCACACCCACTAGTCCTAGTTTCCCTCTGCGCTTGATCAGCTGATCTGGCTTTACAACCAATCGCTGCAGAGAGAAAAAAATACATTGACAGTGTTATAGGAGAACCTGCTAACTTATACCATTTTAAAGAATTCCTGCTGCCCTTTACATTGTGTGAACATCTCTGCTTAATTAGACCCTTAAAATCATACTAAGGCTTATTATTCATATTACATACCAAGGCTTACATACATACTACATACTAAGGCTTATTATTCAGTAACTACAAGGACATAATGCAAACTGGTTGAGCTCTTCTGAGGTGTGTAATAAAACACCACATCAGCGGTTAAATGGTTAGGATGTAAACAAAGTCATTCAGAGTGGTCTGATGTGAAACTTGCAGAATCAGTATTACTCACAGTGGTGGTGATGGTAACCAGACCTCAGAACACTTTAATGCCTCTAAAAGTTACATCACAGAAATGTATTACATATAATGGTTATGAATATACTGCCTGTTATCTGAGACATTGTTTTTGGTAGTTTTAAGATAAGATTTTGTTCTGAAAACTTTTTTTTTCAAATTCATTCACGGTACATGCAAGGTATTATTAAGGCAGAATAGTTCTCCAAAAACACTTTTCAGATTTAGCAGCATTTTACCAACATCAGCATTACTTATAACAACCCAGACGGCATGTGTAGGGTCACTGATCGTTTTGCATAGTAAATAAAATGGCCATATGTATGCTGTAGACACCACCACTAGAAAGAAATCTGAGTCGGTACATTTCTCCCTAATCCATCATTTCACATCAAACCAGTCTGAATGACTTTGTTAATATCTCAAGAAAATTGGTGGAATTGAGGGTTCTTCTCCTTCTTCTTTAAAGCTACTTCTGCTAGACTGTTTTGGGGATGCAAAGTTTCCTAATGACTTAATTTGTGTTTCCTTTGCCAAAAAATTACGGGAACTCCTTAGCAGGAGTAACAGTAAGCGGTGTCGCGTAGAGACTGACCACTGAGGACACTGACTGCAGAGAGAGACAGGCCAGGAGGGAACGAGAGGGTGGACGTTAATGCAATTTACTAATCAGTCCTATCTTAGAGATAGATAGAGATCGAGCGAGCAAGCGAGAGAGAGAGACAGAGAGACAGAGAGAGAAAGATGAGTCATATCTAATAAGATTACGCTGTGGTCTCCTCCATAAAGGTGATTAAGAGTGCTTTTAGAGCTGCTCCTGAGGGAGATTTCTCTGCAGTGATACATTGTGATGGGGCTCTTGATCTCTGCTCCTTTTACTTAGCTCATTCTTAGCATGCTGTTCAGTAATGACGACCACTCCTTTTCTCCTTTCTTCCAGCACTGCTCCCTCTATATCTCAGCATGCTGGTCAGGGATACTGACGCAGCAGTAGTGTTTATGTGGAGCAGGACACACTGAAAGCTCACAGTACATTTACAGGCTGAACACATTGAGATTGTGCTGCTGTGCTGCCACAAACAGTCACTGATTGTAACAGTGACTGAATGACTTGTCTGTGCACCATTTAAGAAGAAGAAGGGCATATGAAGGAGGAAAAAAGTAATGAGGACAGAGGGATGCCCAAAAAGGGAAAGGAATAGAGGAGTGAAGACTGCAGCCCTCTTACAGGACCATACAGAAACCAAGGGTCAAATATGTAAGACTTCTCAGAGTGGGGGTGCTGATCTATGAACATTTATAGACTAAGAAACAGTGATGCTCAAAGAGGCAGATCAGCTGCGGCAACTTTGAAATGTGAGAACCAAGAACAGTCAGTTACAATATTCAATAAAACATGCACTCATTTTTGGCTTATTGTATTGTTTCTATTGTCCACATTCTGCTACAGTGTAAATGTATTCTCAAGTCACATTTGTGTATTCAGCATATTTTTTATTTGAGAACTGTACTATTATCTGATCAAGTATTTAGTTGTATAGGACAGTTTTTTTCCACTTTCCTACTAACCTCAGTCAGAAGCCATGGATGGTCCTGGACCAGCTGCTCCCAGTTTGTGTCTGCAGTGACGTTAGCGTAGCGGAAGCGGTTCTGCACGGCTGCAGTGGTGCAAATGTGCTTATACAGGAACTCTTTCCCTGTCTGCTCAGAGATGGCCTTCGCTGACATATTGCTAGATCACACAGAACTAGAGAAAGAGAGAGAGAAAGAGAGAGAGAGAAAGAGAGAGAGAAAGAAAGAGAAAATATGATAATTAAAAAATACACCAGCATCGCTCCGAAGACGCTGATTCAAACGCATCAGCTTTGAAATGTTGGAATCCATTATAGTTGATAATAGTAAGAATGCATGATTGGAAACGCTAGACTTTTGCATGATTGCATGATTTGTGGATCTGTTTTGCAATTATTTGATGTAAATAATGTGAGGCAGGTAAGTGCATGTGTGCTGTATTGTGTATGAATGCTGCTGCTACACCTGGACCAAAATGATGCAGCAAAATTGTACTTATTGTGCTAAACAGCCATCACCTCTTACTTTATCAGAGCCATATTATTTATATAGGCAAGTAATTTTGACTCAAGTGACTTTCAAATGCATATTTGGTTGATCAAGAAAAAAAATGATTTTATATATACACTGTTACTTTGGCTAATATATATATATATATATATATATATATATATATATATATATATATATATATATATATATATTATGTATATAAAGACTCATTATCAAATTGTTGTGCAGCCACTGATTTACACTCCTGGATTGAATACATCAATACAATATTAGGAAACTTACAGGATAAAGAATAAACAAAGTCATCAGTGTTTATATACAGTCACTGTAAACATCGCTTAGGAAATACCGAGTTAGCAAACCTCCTTCCGCTCTCCCTCTTCACCCTTTAACCCCACCCACCTCGTATCTGCCTGCTCATCTTTTTCTTTACCTTCCCCAAAACAAAAGCTAAAAATAGCCTTGATGCTAATGCTAACATGATTAGCGCCCAGCCTGCTCTGTACTGTGCCCAGCAGGGTTTGATTGATGCGTGCAGTGCAATCAGGCACAGTGGAGACTGTACAGGTCTGATCACTCAGGACTCATCTATGCCTGGCTCTTCAAAATCATAGCAGTAATCAAAAATAACCATCACTGCTCCACTATCTAAAGGAAATAGTTTAGGCAGAGATGAAACACGGTTTTTCCTTTACACTCAATGTAGTCAGCCAAGACTTGTTTGGTGTCTGAAGCTGGCTTCTTCACTTTTGCAATGGAGGCTAGCGTATCAAAAGTGTGTACTACACCAATTAGCATTCTGCAAATTATCATAACTTAGCCTGAAAGCACGTCGAGTTATTAGGTAATAGATAACATGTTGAGTTATTAAGTATAGATAACAGAGTTTCATACAGTGCCAGAAACCAGATAGGCAGCTTTTTAGGAGAAGAATTTGGGAAAGTTGCATATCATGACTGCTGGAACAAAACCTTGTATTTGTGAAATGATAAATTATTTTAACGTATTAACTTATCATTTCATGTCTTTCAATGCACAATAGTGTACAAAGACTTTATACAGATTAATTTTGAACCACAGCTATTCATCCATTTGTTATGAAATTTTTACCCAATATATGAGATGGTATTTTCATATTATGTCAAAAATGAAAAACAACAACAATGGAGACTGTTGTTTTGACAGCAGCAATAGAACAAGTTGCTAGAATATTACATCACATTTTCAAAAAACTTTAAGTACCATTCTACTACAACAGAGGTATCCAATCTTATCCACAAAGGGCCGGTGTGTCCAATCTTATCTGGGTATGTGTGGCTGCAGGTTTTTATTCCAGCAAAACCTGCAGCCACACAGACCCGGATAAGATTGGACACCCCTGAACCACAATGTGTGGTAGTGATTTTGAAAATACTTGCAGCAACTTTAATTAAATTTATTTAAGGTTTAAAGCTTATTTTGTTACCTTTTTTCTGTTTTAGAGATGGCATGAAACCACTTTCCCAATATGAGTATTGAAACCATTATCAATTCAGTATTTTGTCTTTAGAAACTACTACGCTTTAAAAGAAAGATCTATTTTTTAGTTGAGACACATCACTTTGGATCTAAAAAGTAGGCTGTCACGCTCAAAGGACTCAACAACTGTACTGCCCTACAGAAAGAAATACACAGTTAACAACATCACATCACACAGTGTGAGTCAACGCTGTTTCAGGATAGATCTGTTACTGGATTAAATTCATTTTTTTTCCCCTCTAACTTACAATCCAGCATTTTCTGCTAATAATGACCTGATACAGCTACCCATTGAAAACTATGTCATCTCTAATCTATCCGTATTTTTTATGCTTTTGTAAATCACTTTCTGAATAACGCTTGTAAAATATGCTATGTAAGTAAACTTGCCTTGCCTTACCAATGTCTAGACCTAACAACCAAACCATAACATGGCTTCTTTCTGAAGGGCCTAAAAGCTCCACACATGAGCGGCCTGGTGACGGGCAGGCTGTTGCCTCCATCTGATGACATCACAGCCCCCTGTCTGAACCCTGTCAGGGTTCTGCATTAGAATGCAGAAAGGAAGCTGACAGAAAGGGCTTCACACTGACCCTTCCATCACGGACACTTCTCAGAGGAAAGGCCCCATCTGAACTGAAAACCTCTATTATGACAGAAAAACTGCACTGCTGACCGTTTTAAACAGTGAAACAGATACAGAGAGACTGCAAATTTCATATGGACGCTATGAAGCTTTTCAAAAAACACTTAATAATATGCAAGTGAGTAAAAGTCAGAAGCACACTCACACTGGCACACAGAAAAGGTCGAACACTCAGCTTGAACAGTGTGCACGTAGAGGTCCCTACTTCACAAGGTCTAACCAGTCTTAATGAGGAAGGAGAACATGCCTGTCTGTCAGTGGAGAAGAGCCTATTTTCAGATTCTGCCTTTTTCCATTTCCCCCCAGCATCAGCAGCAGTGCAAATTAAATGTCATATATGATTGGAAATCTCATTTTCATTGCTTTATTGAAATAAACGTTTGATATACTATGTGGAACAATGTTTACACAGTCCATACATGGAAACTAAGGTGCCTCTTTTGAATTCATCATGGTTGTGATGTCACAGCCATAAACACATGTACATATGACCAGCCATTCAGCTAACAGCAGTTCAGCTCCACCCACTGACACTGAAGTGATACAGAATGTTGTTACTGTAGATAGTCGGTGTTATCAAAGTGGAAGATGTGGGGAAAACGATTAAATGCTGTCACTGTCAGTAAGCAAATGGATTGCTGTAGCCTTCCAAAGGATCCCTGAATCTAAAAGGAGTCGCTGAAGCTTATTTTCCCTATATTCATTCAAACTTAGCAGTATGTTCCATACTTTTCATCCTGCACCACTTTATGAATGTCATGTATTTGTAAAGGGGACAGTCAATCAGAACTGTGGTCATTTACATATATCAGTAACACAAAAGGCTTTTTTAATTCTAAGGGATAAAGGGAAGTTGGAAAATGATCATCCATCAAAAAATGAATTCAGACTGTTTTGGTGGGTAAAAAAAATACAAAGTGCACTTTATGCAAAAATGAAATTCAAGAAATGACAAATATTGGCTCTTTAAAGCATCGTCTAGGTGGAAACGTATTACCATCAGAAGAAACAAAAAGATTTCCATCATAAACTGAAGACAGGAGGCAGCTTTTACTCACAGTGATAAACAGTCTACCTAAATGCCTCTCCTCTTCATCAATATTAGCAGATCAATAAATGTGAGACATTTTTGAACAAAGCATACAAAACATCTCATATCCCTCCCTTGACAGCAGGCAATTAAAGGGGTCTTTTCATGCCTCCTTTTCTTCTCCTCATCCCTCACCAGCTCATTCTCCTAAACATCCAAAATCAAACCTACTCAGAGGCCCTTGACAGGCATGAGTAGGAGACAGAAGTGTTCAATTAAGCCAGAAGTGTTTAATTAAGAGAAACTAGCAGGTCCTTGACCGGTCCAATTTACTGATTAACAAACAGCTGAACCCCAGCAGGCCACAGACCTATATAACCATCAAATAAATCAGACGTCAGGCCAAACGAGAAGGTCAGTTTATACCAGCTAGTCAAAACTGGGCTGTGAGATGCAAGAATACACTCTCACCCACCCACATGCTGTGGTTTATCACATGTTTACAACATCATGACCCAGGAACTGATATGCTGTAACACAAGACAGTAATCAGTAGCTGTTTACATAGTATCAGCCATCAGTCCTGTCATAAAGAGACTGGTGAAAAATAACAAGGCAATTTTCCTCTTACTCTCAATGTAGCTGATCAGCAAAGACAAGTTTGATATCTGAAATTTGATACTTTAGTTTTGCACTGGAGCTTCAGACACTAAGCATGTCCTGACTGACTGACTACATTCTGTGAAAAACTGTGGAGATTGGATTTTTTTTTACTGAACTACCACTTTAAAGGGATACTTTAGAGCTGCTTTCAGCTACAGGGTCTGCTGTTTAATCACTTATATTACTGGGAGTGTTCTCTGTATTGATCAGAAGGAGAGAGAGAGACAGAGAGAGAGAGAGAGGAGGGGGAGAGAGAGAGAGAGGAGAAGAGGAAGGAAGCAGATCAATCACACTATACATCTTAGCAGGTTGAGAGTGTTGTGAAATATGACTAGGTTTCACACATATAACACCAGCTGCCTATGCAATAGCATCCACTACGTGCATGTCACCTTTTCTAAGTCTAACCAGCTTTAATGAGGAAAGAAAACATCAGCCTGTTAGAGAAAAAGCCTATCCAGCTCAGATCCAGCTCGTTTTCATTTCTCTCCAGCATCAGCAGCAGTGCGCATGAAACCAATTGGCTTCTATAATTAACCTGTACATTTGGCATATTTACTGTGAATCTGTAGATTTTGTGATATCTTTTGTGACTGTATCTTTGCAAAATGCTGCTGCTGGGATAAAACCTTGAACTCTATTATTATTATAATTATTATTATTATTATTATTATTTGAAAATGCCAGCTGCCCTTCGCATTGTGTGAAAATGTCATGATGAATGGACCAATACAAACTGGTTTTAGATTAACTTACATTAAAAGTCAAGATTTTCTTAGACAGAGAAAATATGTTTCTTCATTTTTTATTCTACACTTACATATCAGGACGGGTTCCTAGTGTACGTAAGTACATTTGGCCAGTAAAATGATTTTGAGTCTCAAAATGTACGACCATCAGAGACACGACCGTCAGGTCTCTTCTGAAGACAGGTAGTTTTATTCACAGCAATGAAAACAGACCTGGTAATAAAAATTAATATCACTATCACAATTACTAACCAGTTTATCATTACGCCTTTCAGAGAAGACACACATTATGAGGAAAATGTCTTAACATTGTATATAAAATTGCTAGAGGAGCAACAACAAGGTCCACAGCCAGCATTATCACTGTGGTTCTCGTTTAGACTGATGAATGGTCATAACTAACACAGTCTAAACCATTCTGACTGGTTAGCCAGAGCAAGTGATCATAAATATTACTACTTCCCAGAACCAGATTAGGCCTAAACCTTGACTAAAAAGGATTTTATGACGGAAAATTTTATCATTTGGCCATTTGTCCAAGACTACATCCACAAAAGTATCTCTAAAGAGATTTTCTTGCTATTCTTTGTGGGATTACAAAAACATTATACAGAAAAAAAACTGACAAGCTACATTAACCTGCAGTGTACGAATGAATGGTATGAGGAAACAGACAGTAAAGTGATTTAGTGTGCTTTGTGCAGTGTTGTCATAAGGAAATGACTATAAAAACAAAAGTTCACTTCATTCTTTCCTTGAAAAGGCCATTAAACTAAGCTAATACAGGACAAATCTGAAACTTCTACACTGTTGTGTTTGATTTAGATGTATGTATGTATTGCCCACCTTGACTCGTGCTTTCAACGTCGCACAGATTTCATACTGTGACACTGGAACAGGTCAGACACAGCATAAAGTAAAAATAACCGTGGCAGAACAGATTCATCTCCACGAATTAAGCTACAGCACTGCTGAAACTCTGGTTTATGTTTAGCAGAACGTGCAGTAAGATAGGCTTTAACTTACCCGATAGAGGATGAATGAATGAGCTTCTAACTCCTGAGAGAGTCGCCAGTTCACCGCGCTCCTCTTCTCCGCCAGCGTGCTCTGCTCTCCTCCTCACCGCTCCTTTTCTTTTCTTCCCCCCTCCTTCCTGTCAGACGATAGACTGAGCCGATAAATCTTCCCGCTGATTGGCCAGCTCCTGCCAATCAGCTCTCAGTTCTGTCCCATTTCGTTTCTCCGCCGAAACAGCGGCTTATCGATCGGATCAGACTCTGATTGGCTGGCGTTACCCACGCTCTCTGAGCGGACCAATCAGGTGGGCCTTGTCGAGCACGTGGACGCCTCTTGCTAGACGTTTAGAAATAAGCATGGAGCTTGTAAAATGTTGGAATGTGACCCAAAGCTGATGTTGATCAACGCAGTTTTGAAAGCACTGATTTCTAAAATTGTCTGCAATCATCTCAGCTTTTCCAAGATGACAAACAATCACCATCAGTAACGCTTTCTCAGAACGTTGCCATGATGCTCTTCATCCACCAGCGGCGTCGCTAGAGGTTCATGGAAAGTGGGGCTAAACCTGTACTAGGGGGGTATACTATCTCCTCTCTGAGAGAAGCTGCAATGTCCGAAATATACTATTACATTCGCAGACTATAGATTAGATCAGTCTCAGCTGGTGCCATCAGAAAGAGTGTGATTAGGTCAGGGCAATAAGCTGGATGACTGAATTTCATGGTCAGAGTGACAAATATTTTCTCAGTTAAGTTCAATTAAATTCAGCATCAATTTTATTTGAAAGCTTAAACAAGTCTTCCTTACAGAGCCCTGTTGGTGAAATCCTATATAAATAAAAATAATGCATGGCCACACCATATTAATGCATGGGAACAAGATCCTATTGCCTGGCCACAGCTTAGTAAGGTGTGGGAATGAGATAAAAAGTCCTTGACTACAGCTTAATAAGGCATGATGTTCTAATGCCTTACTAAGTCACGGACACGACTTAATTATCTCGTTCCCATGCCTTGATAAGTGGTGGCCATGCATTAGGATCTCGTTCCCACATGTTAATATGGTGTGGCCATGCATTGTTTTTATTTATATGGGATGTCACCAGCAGGCCTTCGGACTCATCGCGTTTTTCTTGATCACTTACCTACATCAGATCTGCTCCTTCAGGCCTGTCAGTCTCCTCCAGCTTCTTTCTCTCCCTCTCTTCTTGCGTTTAGTAAAACATTATTATTTTTTTTTTTGAACTCAGAAAAATTTAGAGAAATAATGAGAGATAAATCAATTTTTTTAACTGGTATAAATCTTCTCATCCGACTGGCCTTCGACAGAGCTGCCACCTCTTAATTTCCATCTACAGGTTGACGATTTGAGGAATACAAAAATTGTGTTATGATCAACACTATATGACCTATTCACTGACATTTACTTACTGTATATGGCAAATACTGGTTTCAAATACTGGAGAGAGACATAAAAATAAAGAATATAAAGAGCTGTCAGTAATGTTATTTTTATCTCTGTCGCTCTCACTCTCACTATGAAGTGAGGCTTCTCAAGTTGGCCAGTTAATGTTAATCTTAGCTTAAACCCTTTTCATTGCCTCACGTAAACCCAAAGTTAGCTAACTAGCTTATAAACAACTGAGTAAAAGCCAAATCGCCAGCTATACTGACCATAATTTGCCACAATCCATATTTATACTATTTATATTGGAGTTTTCAGCCAAAATCCTGCCTTTAGCTTCAGCAGTTGCCAAGAAGAGCCAGTAAACCTAGAGACCCTACCTCAGGTCTGATATGATTGGCTTACAACTTACGAAGTCTGTTGTGATTGGCTTACATCTTACGAGGTCTGATATGATTGGCCTAGCCTGGTTTTCCACATCTCACGTTACGTTAGCCAATCTCTCGTAGCACAGCAGAGTCAGCGATGCATTAAGGCAGCAGCAGCGCCACCCCCAGGTCACGGCCTTCTATTACAGTATATTGTGAATGATAATAAACTATGAATGATATAAACTATTAATGTACATTTCTTTGGGAAAGGAGGACTAAATAACATAAAGAGTGGCCATAGAAACACCGACCTTATAGTGCCACTCAATGGTCTTTTTATGAGCTCCACCCTTACATGTCCACAATAATTACCGATTACAAGTGCACAATACAGAGTCCATCAGTTGATGTGCGCAATATGTCAGCTACCCACTCTCTCTATTCATCAGAGGTTTCTGACCACAGGAGCACTGTTGACCAGATGTTACTATTATCTGAGTGGTAGTCTGTTCTTAGCACAGCAGTGACACTGATATGGTAGTGTGTGGTTATGCCAGGATTGTATCAGGCACAGTGGGGTCACTGCAAGGTTGAGAGTGGTCCACCACCCAACCAAGCGCGGCTCTGTGGTCAGAACTGCTGGGTGTAACTACTGGGAGGGTTTTTTACATTAGGGCCCCATGACACGGTTGGACCGCCTAAAATCTTTATTGGGTTGATATTGACACAACTGTACAGCCATGACTCACAGAAAGATCTAATTTCTTTAAGGACTCATATCCTACAATTTCCTTACATCAACACCAGTCATAATTCATACTATATGACCATTTTTAACATCTCATTTTTCTCCTAGAATTAAGCAGACTGTTTCTGTTACTGTGCCTTTAAGACTGATCTATGTAAATGAGCTCTGTTCTGATTGGCTGCCCTGTATTGCACCTCATTCAGAAATCAGTTTGGGCTGGTTGCACTCATAACTTCAGTATGATTGTGCGGAACTAAAGTGCTGTAGGCTAAAAAAAGTTAGGTACATGTAAATGTGTTGGTTTTCATGACATCACAAAAACACTGGACTCAAAATGGACTGTGTTTGCAGCTTAATTTCCATAAATGAACAGAATGTAGTCTGGAGTGAATAATATATTTTGAAACCTAAGCAACATTTACATAGTACTTTAAATCTTTTTATATAAAAAAGTGAGGAAAATTCAGTTTTCTATGATATGGGTCCGTTAACAACATACCTCACTAGTTAGCTTCCATCAGCACTACACAAACAGCCCTGACAGCCTCTAAATTCATAATGCATCTCATGGTAACCATTTTTAAATGGATCCTTCACAACCTGCAACATGATATATGCATCATTTTATCATTTTTAAGTCTTAAATAAGAAGTCTAACGCAAACCAGGCAGCAATAGTGAGCAAACAGCAAATTACATGACATTTTTCTGTTTCCTATGAGTCATTACTGTATAGGGGTCCATTCAGTTTTTGTTCACTGGGTTTGAGGGTGGTTAACAAATTTTGTATCAACAGATTTCTTAAAGTGGCTGATAAGAGATCATATTGAGTGTGAATGGCATTTGTATGTAAAATAACTGCTCCCTTATACTCATAATCAACAGACTCGGATGATGCAGCAATATTGAAGTTGCAAGATTTTGTATGCTGAGTTCATTTGAGGGCACATAAATATGTATGTCCTAGGTGAAGTTCCTTTAATGAAGGGGTGTAGACACGGTCCAGTCCTTTCTCACGTCACACAGGACAGGATTTATCACTTACACCCTCTCTCTAGGTAAGGTAGGTCAAAGTAAAATGTTGGCCATTAAAATATGCAGGCCTGACTGTGCTGCTAATGCATAGCCTGGCTCTTTATCTCCACTATGATTACTTAATGCAGTCTGAGAACTCCAGCCAAAAGACATGAGTCAACTGGCTTTAATAAATACATTTAAAAAAAAGATACCAGCTTTAAATAGAAACATTCTCATTGATCTCCGGGCAGTGACACTGAATAAATACAAACACTGTTATTTAAGGTTTTGGATAAGCCAGATAAGATGATATTGCAATAGTAGCGCAACAGACTGGATCGGACTAATTCTAAATTAAATTCTATGAATACAGGGTGATACATAGAGAAACAGATTCTGGAATAAAGTTTAATCACTTTTTCTTTGTCTCTTTGACAAACATGTGCATTCACACACATCCAGGGAGATTAGGCTGGGCAGTCTTGGCAGAGAATCATCAGCTGAGCTAGTAAAGGCCAGAAACCACTACGTTACAGTGATTCAGCAATATGAAACTGACCTAATCAGCTGAATTTAAAGTTCAACCTATCCAACTCAAATCACTTCTCCTTCTTCTGTATCCAAGACTCAATGGAAAGGTAGAACTGATCAGTAAGTGAAAATACACTATATGCCCAAAAGTATCCACACCAACCAACGGTTTGACAGTTCCGTTCTAAAGAGTGATCAAGTGAAAGTAGTGCTGAGAGTAACCAGACGTCCAAATGCCTCTAAAAGCTACTTCACAGCTATTACACAAAATGGCTGCTAATATGACTTCCGATGTTTCCATTAATGAACTGTATGTGGCCTGGAGGGAATAATATGTGATACAAAACCTTTTTACAAGGTTTTGTATCTTTAAACTGATACCTCTACAGGAGAAGGAAAAAACAATTAGCAATGTTTTCCAAGTAGTTCTGGATCATTGCTATTGGTCTGTTCAGCATAAAACCGACAAAGCAAAAGCTAACTGGAGTTCTTAAATTCCACAATTTTTTATCCATTCATGGTGGAGAGGTGGATATGCTGGCTAAAAAGCACTTTAAGAACTGTGTTTTTTCTTCCAGACTTACTTAATTTTACTTTACTTTAAAATCCTTCTACTGAAAAGTGACTCTTTTGGAAATATGAGGCTGTTCAACAGCTATGACATAAAAAAAAACATGTTCACTGGTCATTTTGGATAATAAATAAAACTGCTGTATGTGCGTTGCAGATGCAGCAACCCCTAGTTCCCATTACCACCTCTGTAATGAAATCAGAGATCAGAGTCAGTACGTTTCTCTACAATGTACCATTCACACCAAAACACTTTGAATGACCTGGTTTACATCTCTACAGTTAATTTACACAAGTTTGTGAAAAATGGGTGGGATATCCCTTTAACATGCACCTACTGCTGACAGAGGTGTTCAGCTGAGCACACAATGTTATAATCTCGTTAGAAAGCATTGTCAACAGAATATGGGGTGCTCTGGATATGCTGATGGTCTACATGCCCAATGCCAAACACCAGTTTAGAGGAATATAATGCCCCCAGTATTGGGCTGTGGAGCAGTGGTCTCTGGAGTGATAAAGCTCCATCTAATGTCTGAGATGAACTGAATCCAGATGATCCAACAGGTTAGTAGGTTCCTGACCTACTAACACTCTCATGACTGAATGCAGTGTCATGTAGGCTTTTAAGACTAGGTTTAAACTCAGTCTAGGTCTAGAAAACTGGCCCATAGGTCTACAAGGTCCTTTGAGTCTACAAACACTTCATTAGTGCCACCTTGTGGAAGAATTTGGAAACTGCATTACCCACCATTTGAATATCACAGTGGATAACGGTCCATAATGATTTGTGGTGGTAAACTAATTTTCATTTGCATAGCAGGTTGGTTAGGTTGCCTAAGTTGCCCTTCCTAAGCAGTACCGGCTCTACCATCTAATAAATCAGGACCAAGTTTAATGCAAACTACCAGCCTGTGAATTTCAACTACAGTAAATTAAAGTCACTTGGTTCATCTGTTGCTGTGGAAATCAGGAAATGCTTTCAAGTTGCTGCCACGCACGAGTCTGCCCTGCCACAACAAAAAAAACGAAAAAAAAAAAGTGGGCCTGGCTGGTGGGCTACAACACAATAGAGGAGCTCATTTTGGTGAAAGCACCTATTTGAAACCAATGATTACACACATTGTGCTTGGAAGGCAGACTGAAAAAAACAAAATGAGAAAACCCAAAATGAGGAAGTGTGAAAGCTACAGCTGACACTTCATCAAAACAGAACAGAACAAGCAGACAAGGTTGTCAGAGCCAAGCAAATTCTTTATTAAGTGTACAAAAAACAAACAAAATCAAAAAAGGTAAGTGCAAAAAACATCGCGCCTCAGTGACGGAGGCCTACATAAGCATGGCTGCTGCCTTCGAGCACCCAACTGCGGAGGAAGGCACGAGGCAGTCGCCAGTCACAGTATTCTGAGTGCACCTTTTGTCGAAAGTGACAGCAATGGGAAAGAACACATGAGACTAGCTCAAAAACGCTAATAGTGCTGTGTCGATGCGATCCAATCGACAGAAGATATGGTTAGGCGAAGTGTAGCGTGTTAGCCGTGTTAGCTAATGTGGCAGACAGCACATTCAGAAAGAAAGTTCCCACGGAGTGACTGCAGCACCACATGAGAGCTTTATGAAAGACACATTCACAGTTTCACTCACTGAGAAAAAGACAGAATACAGCCATGTTGGATACAGAGTGGAAAAAAGTGGAACAATGCAAAAAAAAAAACTACGTTGAAAATGCCTGTGCACTGAAGACGGCTAATGAGTGGGGAGTGGGGTTTTAAAGTTGACGCTGCATGCTGTCTTATTGACGTTCATCACAAGAGTCATATCACTACTGCAGAGAGAGAAGAAATGCACTAAATACGCAGACGTTCCAAACATACGCACAGCAACAAACAGCCATTCATGCGCAGTAATCAAATCTAGGCTCAAATTTTTGAACTAACCTGGAGGCAAGCCATACCTATTTGGCACCAATATTGGTTACATCTAGTTGCAGCATCTGAACAGACGTTCTAGCACTCCAGCCTGACCAAAACTAACAAAACCTAAGCCAAATTGGAAGTGACAAGCGGTGACGACAGTGTAGCTAAACTAATAGTAGAGATAAACGCGTCCTGATAAGCAAGCTAACATCCTACTGAGTGCAGGGAAGACTGACTGAATGCCGCAGTGTAGAAGAGAACAGGGATAGTGCAGTGGCCAAAGCCGAGTGAGCTAGTAGCACCTAACGAGTGAACTATGACCTACAGCAGGGTGAGAAATGACCTTAAGGCAGATTCTAAGGCCTCGGAGCTTGTGCTGCCAAGCGAAAGAGGGGGAAAGGCACCTGCTAAAGGGAGGGCTGGGAGTGCTTTGGAATGACAGGGGCTTGCAGTATGTACCAAAAATCACCCACCCCCAGCCCTATGCGTACACTAAAGCTGAAAAAACACATACACACAACCCACAGCAACCACACATACAGAAAACCAGCCTCAGGCAGTTGGGGAGTGCCCCCCCCAAGAACCCTAAAGAAACATCTTCTCCATTTCCCTCACAGAATGGAGCACTTTGGCTTCTTCTTCTTCTCCCCACCCTCCTTCTTGGCTGCTTCAGCGGGACGCTTGTCTTCAGAGAAGCTGGAGAAAGTGGTGTCGCATGTGACCGCCTCCCTCAAGCTCAGGTACCAGCGGCCCTGGCCCAGGTAGGACAGTGTGCCCGGCTCCAGCTCCTGCTCCTCCACGGCCGACTGCTCCTGGCCTCCCTGCTGCAGAACCAGGATCTCCAGGAGGTCCAAGCCGGTCTGAACCGCCTCCACCCCTGCCGCACAGCCCAAGGTGACGTGGGCGCGGCTGCCCTCCGGAAGAGCCTCCACACCTGCCAGGGAGGCCTCGGGTACGCCCTCTTTATCAGCTCCTGCCGGCCACAGCTGCAACTGCTCTGGGGTCAGCTCTACACGGGCACCAAACGTGCGAGGGGTCACCATGAGACCCACAACGGACAGCTCCGCTGAGTTGCCATACGAGTCCTTCACCACCTACATATGGAAAAGGAGCGAGTTCAGCAGTGCACCAAACAACTGATGTAGTGTGATCAATTCTATGTGTGATTCATACTACATGGTTTCATATGAAACTGACCTGTAGTTCAGCGTATTCTTTTGATCCCTCTGCCTTTCCATAGTCACAGAATTTGGTTGTGCAGTGGAGAGGTTCTTTGGTCTGGAAGTACTGCTCCAGGTCTACCTCTTTCTCTGCTTCCCCAGTAACTAAAGATGTAATCAAAAAGATTTAAAAAGAATGCCAAAAAATAAGATGACTAAACAGAACTCAATACCTTAATGAAAATAATAAGAAAAATAAACCCTCACAATTATTCAAACTTTATAACTTGCAGGTCAAATGCAGGTTTTCTGTGACTTGATAATGATTAGCTGGCAGTTTGCATAATTATACAATATTTAAATTCTCCTAGTTCTCTCTTATAGTAAGAAACAGAGCCCGATTGATAAACCTAATCATACATTTTTGCCAAACAGTGATGTTATTTTGTTTAAATGAACTATTCTTAAAATATGGAGTTTCTCTTTTCTAATAATCAGGGTTTTTTAAGGTTCTGCACAGGTTGTTAGTGTTTTTTTTTTAGTCATTTTTATTTTATTTTATTGTGACCTTTTTTAAAAAAACTCCAACTACTCGATTAGTACATTAGTACAGTACCTTACTCTACTACTAATATAATCAATAGTGACCGCACTAGGCATGGCAAGCTGACACTTAGAACCACTATGCACTCACATTCACTGAGATGTTTCTTGAAGGCCTCCAAAGTGTCCAGAGTCTTGAGGAAATCCATGGTGGAGCACCTTATCCTCTGCTCAACCTCTGAAAGCAGGAACCAGCCATAGAAAAGTGGCAGCTCCGCCTCCTTTGGTTGTTGCGCTGCCTCTTTGGGGAGCTCAGCTTGAACCTGCTCTGCTTCAGACGGCTTTTCAGGCTCCGTCTCTGACGCTGGGGCACCTGCCTTCTCTGCCTCCTTCGCAGCAGTAGCGGCGGCGGCCTCCACTTCCCCAGCATCCTTTCCTTCTACTTTTTGTTCTGACTGGTCAGCAGACTTCTCAGCAACTTCTTGCTTCTTCTCCACCTGCTCAGTGGTCTTCTGCTCCACTATTTCATTCTCTGTCTTAGTCTCACCCTCTGCTGGTTTCTCAGGAGGCTTTTCCACTTCTGAAGGCTTCGCTTGGTCTGCTGCTGCTGCTTCCACGTTCTCGGTTGCCTGCACAGGCTCAGGAGATGCTTTGGCTTCAGCAGGCTCCACCTCGGGTGCTTTCTCTGGCTCAGAAGTTTTCGCTGGTGCCTCCCCCGTCTCCGTAGGATTCTGCGGTGACTCGGCGGGCTCCGAGGGCTTCTCTTCCACCTCCTCAGGCTTGGGCTGCTCAGGAGCAGGCGATTCCTCTATGGCCTGTGACTCAGCAACAGCCTCTGGCACTTCCTGGTTCTGATCAGCTTCCATTCCTCAACAGCAGTGTCTGAAAAAAATAAAAAATACAAACAAACATGAGATCATTATCGGTTCCCCAGAAGCTCAGCATCAAAGATGAGACTCAAGACATGCATCCTTAGTCAGTGTTTCAGATATGGAGTATCAGATGCTACACAGCATGTAGTGGATCAAAAACACATAGTGCATCACTAATTTGTGGTCCACATACCTTCACGCACTACAATTAACAAGAAACTAGAACTGTTCCACATTTGTGCAGAAATCATTAGCAGCAGTCAAATAACTTATTTCCCCCCACTCACTGTAACAGGGACTTAACATATGCCTAATTAAAATGCTTCTGGCTAATAGTCCAGCATCTGTCACTATTATGTTTTCATAATAGTATTAGTTGGGTTAATCCAGATTCTAATTCCCCTTGTTCAGTGCAGAACTCATTTAGTTCATAAGACACACTGAGCAAGAGAGCGTTCCTAATTTTGAGATACTTAAAGGCAATCAGGAAGTGTCAAAACAGAACCACAACCACCCTCGTATTAGTTCCAAGTTTAGCAACAGAGAGCATGTTGAACTGGTAGGAGGAGTCATTGTAAGTTTGAAAAAAAAAACAAAACCTTCCAAAAGGGGAAAAAACACGCAAATTTTTCTTGTTATTAATGCTAAACTACTGCTATAGTATTTTAAACACTAACCTGACCAGGCACAGCTAATGAAAGTAGTCCACTTGGCTAAACCTGCCATATTTACATCATGAAATAAAGACATGTAAATAATTGTTAGTCATGTATCCATAAATCATAACAGTCATTCTAAGTAATTCTCACTGTGATTTCCTGAATAAATAAACAAAAATGTAAAAAATTACAGCCATTCCTGAATAGGGCTTTAAAAGAGTATTCCATGATTTCTTGTGAATATCTGTATAATTTAATAACTGTATAAATTATAAAGTCATTCAGAGTCATTTTCAGTTTTTCAGATAGTGTTTTGGGCCAAAACACTTTTTTGTACCTTACTTTTAATTCTCTGTAAAGAATTTGGGCTCGGTTAGGATTTCCAATGCACATCAAACCAATCTGAATGACCACGCTTACAACTCAATCATTGAATCATGCAGTTAGTTTGAAAAACCAGTGGAATTTCCCTTAAATAAATACGGCATGTGGAATGTATTACTCTTTGATTTCTCAAACGCCTGAAAATGCAATCCAACTGACTCTTTCCCACAGACATGAGCTCATTCTTTCAGGCCTCAACACAGGCCTGCCCAGGTAAAGTTAAAATAAAAGAAAAAAAAAAAAAGCAAATTTCCTCTGACTCCCAGAAGGATTTGGGTTTGAAATTCGAGGAACCACCCTTGCATTGTAAGTGCAGTCCCTGTAGGTTGCTGTCTGCTCTTCCATGTCCTTATACCCCCCCATACTCCTCCTCCTCCTCCTCCCTGGCCATCTTTCTCCTGCTGTCTCACCCACCCTCCCTCTTCTCAGCCAGGCACAGAGGGGCCAGGGCAAAACGCAGCCCCCTTTATCTCCAACATCTTTTCTATTCACGAACAGCCAACTGTCATTTTCTCGATTTTTACAGCCCCCCCGCTGCAGCTGCGTGGTTCTAAGCACGAAGAGTATCAGCTGACCAGTGTTCCTGTTCTTCAACACTCAGCACACTTCAGCTTTTAGACGCAGCCCAGGAGAGAGTGACGCCCATCAGTCTTCCTCTACCAACTGTTCCTGGTCTGATAACACGTTTTCATTAAAATGTAACCAACTCAGCTCGACCTACATTCACGCAGGGAACCACTAGAACCTTATGCCCCTCTCAGCCGTTCAGACAGCAGGCCTGTGTACAGCCCTCGAGCCCACGCGAGGAGAACGTGGACTAAAAGCTACTGCAGGCCAGCAGCTGCGTTAGTTTTACCTTGAACACAGTCCAAAACAGAGGGGAAATGGGGGCACACAAAGGGGGATAGGAACAGCAGAGGGGACCAGCCAGGCGAGGCCAGCGTGAGACAGCAACACCTGCAAATGGTTTGCGTCGCTTTCTTTGTGCGACCGAATTAGATCTGGGCCACGCCGTGCGCTCCTCCACTCTAGACAAAGAAACGCAGACCTCCAGACATCTTCAGCCTCTCAGCGAAGAGCCAGCGACACAAAGAAGGAACCAAGGGCTACAGAAGAGCCTGATTTCACATAAGACACACACTGGGGGCCGTACGGATCTAGACTACATAGAAAAACGAGGGCAGCTGGAAACAGCTGTAGATAATTAGGGGAGGAAGGAAATAAGTGGCATTTTGGTTGCAGGGCATAAACTGAATGGAGGGCGGTGGGGAAGAAATTAGGCAGTTTAGTGGGGAAGAATGAGGACAGATTTGGATTTTGGGGACATGTGGGGAGTGGCAGCACCGCCACGACACACACACACACACACACACACACACACACACACAGAGACTCCAAACACACACCAAGAGCAAAAACGCTGCGTTTGACAGAACCGAGGCCAAAAAGCGCTGGCTGGAGCCACGTGGTGCCCCCAGACTATCAAGAAGACCCAAAAGCGTCCAAAAAACAAGAAGAGGAAACTGTGTTCTGCTCAGAAAGGCGGGTGGAGACACTGAGAGGAAAAGCAGGCAGAGGAATAAAAGAAGCTCTTCTTACCCGGGCTGAAGCGCTGAAAGTAACTCGTGTAGCTCCCGCTCACTGGGGCCGTGCAGCGGCGAACAGCACCTTTCTGTTGTCCTTTTTCCCCCTTGTTTCTTTGCTCGGTGAAAATTTGCCCCCGCCTGGCCGAGCAGTGATCAGGGGAAGCGAAGCAGAGGCCACGGTGCTCTTGAGCTGTGCTGCTGCACTAGCACGACAGGCAGCGTGGGCAGGGTCAGTTTTTGCGAGGGGGCGTGGTCTAATCGTACTTGAAGCTCATAAACGGATATTTCCCTCAAAAACAGCTCAGTGAGATTCCTGAATTGTGGCGACTTAAAAAAAGAAAAAATATAGATGTATTTTTTAAGTCTTTTATGCTATTCATAATATTAACTGTCTGTCTTGTGAAGACGTTGCTGATAACTTTGCTTACAAAAAATCTAGAAAGCAGAACTGAGTCACACGCCACTGCCACACTATGTAAATTTGTGAAAGTATTAATTTGTGTCTATTTATTTATTTATTAACGTATTTATTCATAAGTCGTTAGGTGATTTGTTAGTTGCTGTTATTAAAACATACATTTTTTAACAGTTAACATTTGTCCATAGTTTATTAATGTTATATGATGTTTGTTTTAGCATTTATTAAACTTTTTTCCTGATAAAAAATAATATTAACTCATTCTCATCCTGTGTGGTTGGGAATGTCGCTTAAGACCCCCCCAAACGGCCCTGTTGGTGTGTAACACTGTCGTAGGATGTTTAATGGGCGTGGCTATACGCATGTCATCTGCATAATGAAAAAGCGCGTAATTTATATGCATGGGCGTGGCCATGATCTCACTCGGTAATGCTGAGTAGTTGCATTCGGTTCCCCAGAAACATCTGAGTTTCAGACATTTGACCAAGGTTTGGCCTTATACGCGTGACAGAATGAAGAGCCAGGGGTGAATCATTTTTCGTTCAGGTAAAATATTTGCTGTTTGCTAAAAAAAAGTAACAACATGTAGCTGAGGTTGGCCTCACAGGCTGTCTGAATATAGGGGACTTAAAAAAAATTCTGATTCAAGCCACAGAGATTATTATGTGACATATATAATGGTAAAACAGCAGTAAATCTGGGTACTGTTTTGGCTTATAACACCCTGCATGTACCTCTGCACCATGAAGGAATAAGAAAAAAATAATTTTAGGCCTAAATATGATCTCAAAACTGTCCTAAAATAATGTCAAAATATTCATTTCATGTTCCCAACTACTTCTCAACTTTCTGTGAGGGAGCTTTTAGAGCTATTCAACTTTTCAGATATCCTAGTCTTTTTATCACCACTGTGAACAATTCAGATTTGGTACATTTCTCTAGAATGAAGCATTTTTCATCCAACTGGTCTGAAGGACTTTGTTTACATTTCAACAAGTAATTTATTCAGATTTTGTTTTTTAATTGGTGGAATTACCCTTTGTTTGTTGTTTGGGGGGCGTGGCCATAGGAGATTAAAACAATGGAAATTCCACACAACTGGAAATTCTTTTTAGTCCAAGACTGTCCTTAGTCCATGTTTGGGTAACTGGCTCAAAGTAGTTCTTTTTGAGAAAATCATTAATTGCCTTGCTTCATGCTGCAGGTTTGATAAACAAAAAGATCTTAAAATGGGAGAATTTTGAACCCAGGAGTATCGAGATGTTGGCGAGTGTGACCAAAATGCAAAGGTAACTAAAATCAGTTTAGATCAGTGTCCTCTAAGTTTAACACTACATTTAGTCTGATATAGATAGAGGACTCATGTTATCAATGGCCCTGTTTTTTCTTCCATTTTAATCCCTCAGCACATATTGGATATCAGCAGAGAGAGAGAAAGAGCTGTTGCCTAAAAGAGCCGTTTAATTACACAATCTACGGTACACCAGCCAAATCTTGTTAGTATGTTGTAAGCTCTTAGTACTGACTTACGTACTACTAAATTGCATGTTTCCTGGACACAGATTAAGCCAGATTAAGTCGGCTCCTGGACTAGAGGCCATTATCAAAACAGAAAGACGAACTGAGAATATTTTATTACAGGACTACAATGAATCTGTGTTCAGAAGACCAGCTGTGTGTGAGCTGAGTGTGCTAGCCTAAGCAATGCTACAAAGCATCAGGGCCTAATCAGCTCATCTAACTCTTCTGCAACCAAGGGATAAACTCGGTTTTCCAGGCCTCTCTGTGGCAAATACAGACAAGCCAAAACTGCTTTCTAACAGGTTCTGGTATGTTCTTGCATAACTTTCTCACAAACACATATGCACACATTTTCAATATTATGCAATTAATCTTGGCACATCCTTCTTTTGAAACACCCTGAAGTCAAAAATAAAATAAGGCTGTATTACCTTTTGTCAGCGTGCGGCAAAAACTTTCTACCTCCAAAAACAGAACTTGTCGACATGGGGAAGAAACCTTTATTTACTTGCTGTCCAAAGGAGATAAAAGTTTGTGTTGGCCTTTCATTGCCTTAGAAACTTCATATATCACCGCATGGAACATGGAGAAGAACTAGCAAATTGATTAAAAAGGATATGTTTATGCACCAACACCACCATAACAATATCAGTACTTGCAAAACGCTTAAAACAGTACATGCTGTTAGGGGCCCATATCATGGAAAACTGAATTTTCCTATTTTTTCTGAAATAAAGAATCCACCTAATCCATTTCAGGAAACTAGACTGGGGTTGTTTAGAAAGAATTGTTTTTGTGATGTCATTTTACGTATACATACACACCTAAACAGCCTACAGCAGTTTAGCTCCGCTCACTGATTCTGAAGTTATAAAGTATCTTTCAGTCTGTGACCCAATACATGGCAACCAATCAAAACAGAGTTCATTTACATACATCCTTAAAGACAAATAAACAAACAGTTTTACTCCAAGTAATAAAGAGAGGTTGAAATGGTAAATGTGAAAATGAATTATGACTGTTTTTTGAACATAAAACCATAGTATCTTCTCCACACAGGCTTTATTTCAGTGTTCGGAAGTGTGAATATGAAGAGCAGTTAGGATTTGTTGGTTTAGATTTGCCTTCAGAGTTGATTTAGTCACAGAAAAGTCCATCAGAAGGGGAAAGCAAACAGACTTTCCTCTCACTGTGTCACTTGCTGCCTCGTCTCACGAAGAGCCTGATGGACCAGAGAGTCAGATGTCAGTTCAAAGAATCAAATGACACCAGTGAATCACAAAAGACAGAAGTTTCAGAATTAAATCCAGAAATTAAAGGAAAAATAAATGTTTTATCTGGCCCTAGTAAGAAATGCTAAAAGTAAGCAGTCAGGTGATTTCATCCACCGTATGTCCAGAAGTTTCCATACTCCTTTTCTAATTAGGGAATTTGGCCTTTTTAAAGGGGAATTCCACTGAATTTTCAATTTCTCTGAAAAAGTAAATAGCAAAGATGTAAGCAAAGTCTTTCAGAGTGGTTTGATGCGGAATGCTCCACAGTGGTGGAGCTCCACAGTGATAGGAACCAAACATCTGAAGAGTTCAAAGCCTCTAAAAGCTCACAAAATGTTATTACACAAAACTGTTACAAATTGCCTGATGCAATTTTACAATAGTTTTGCACTAAAGTTCTGGCCTAAAACTTTTTTTTTTAATCTACTCATGGTGGAGTGTCATTATAAGGCAAAATAGTACCTGAAGGAAGCTTATTTTTTCATTTTTATATTTTTCATATTTATTTTACTGTTGTTAACATAACATACAAACACTGAGAAGATGTGTTGATTCACTGGTGGTTTTACATAGTAAATAAAGTGGCTATGTCTTTGTTGCAGACACAAAATGCAAAGGTAACTAAAATCAGTTTAGATCAGTGTCCTCTAAGTTTAACACTACATTTAGTCTGATATAGATAGAGGACTCATGTTATCAATGGCCCTGTTTTTTCTTCCATTTTAATGGAAGCAGCCTTTGGTTCCTATCACCACCACTGTAAAGACAATCTGAGTTGGTAAGTTTCTCTACAATGAACCATTTCACATCAAACCACTTTGGATGACTGTTTAAATCTCAACCATTTAATTATGTAGAATTTTTGAAAACTTGGTGGAATTCCCCTTAAATATGCACCCATTGCTGGCATAAGTGTTCAGTTGTGCTCACACAGCTTGTACAATCGCCATAGATAAGCATTGCCAGTAGAATAGGACACTCTGGAGCAAGTGCTCATGAGCCCATGGTCACCATGCCCAATGCCAAGTGCCAGCTAAAGGGGTATAAAGCCCCCCAGCACTACTCTGTGGAGCAGTAGAGCTGCATTCTTTGGAGTGAGGGAGCATGATCCACTATCTTTGGGATGAATTATAATGAAGTTTGTTATCTAGAGCTAATATTCAAACACCAGGATCTGGCCTCACTAATGCTGTTGTGGCCGAATGCAAGCAACATCTTACAGTAATGTCCCGAAATTTAGTGTAATGCTTTCATAAAAGAGTAGAGGCTGTTACTGCAGCAAAGGGAGAAAAACTCCCTATTAATACCCCTGATTTCAGAAGAAACATCTACAAACGACTGGATATACAGTGTATTTATTATTGGTGTGTAGTGTTTAATGCGACATTAGCACAAATATTCAACACTCTTGACCATCAAAAGTGGTTTAATCATTTCTGACCATCATTTGGTTGATCTGTATTCAGTGGTCAATAACTAGAATAAGAAAATCTGTCATCTAGAGGTCATTTTTAAATGACTCCTGGTACAAATTGTCCAGGTTGTAAACTAATATGTATCAGTTACTGTATTTTTGAAAACCTCTACTCTTTCATATTTTGCTACACCGTAGAAGGAACCCTCTGCTGATTGTTATTTTATTTTTTATTTTACGCTGGTCCAGTGCCCTCAGCAAAGCTTGATAGAGTAATGGACTAACAACATCCTTGTGATCTAAACATTCCCATTCATCCCGAGACTCTTCTGAATATATATTACTATATTACTGTCACGCTGTGCTTTGTTACAGGGACAACAGAGAAACACTAGTTTCTGCAGTTGAGTAAAATTCTCAGTAATTCAGAATCTCAGCCATTTTAATTCAGCATGAATGCAGTGATAGAAAACCGGTAGGAGTAAAACGAGAGCAAAAGATAGCTCCTGGATGAACGAGAGAAGAGAGAGGAGGAATGTCTGTGTTGACCTTCTGTATGGCATCTCTGGCAGCATCGTCCTGCAGCAGTTTAGCCCGGTCCAATGCCCTCTCAAAGTGTAACACACTGGCTTTATAGTTACCCAGTTTCACTAAGAGAAGAAAAAAGATGAAGACATTGAAAATTAGCAAAAATATCTGTGGGCAACATTACAAACTAGATGACTGCAGAGGGAAAAGACAAAATAACACAGCAAATAAAGAGGATGCTAATGCACTTTAAAAGCAAGAACACATTTAAACCATGCAAGTATAAATATTTCTATTGATTTACACATGGATCATTCTACTAAAATGGTTCAAAGAGTTGAAAAAAAAAAAATTTGACATTTATCTGAATTGAACTTTAGATTAAAATCCTTTTGCTTTGAATGACCCTATACCTTGTTTATGTTATTAAAACAAATGATTAAACATTTCATTTTGTTACGACCATAACACTACCAAAACGCTAACAAATGTGTTAGTAGTGACTGTTACGGCAGCGACAGGTTTAGGTAATTTTGAGCAGGAAACACAGCTTTAAACAGTTACACAAACCTAAAATCATAATTTTTATTAAAACTCATGAACGTTTACTTAATTGCAGAAAACGTGTTCCAGTAGTGACCATTCTTAAGGTTACAAACTGATTTTCAGACTTTGCAACACAATTACTTTAAAATAATGGGACATAAGACCCTGTTTACACCTGGTCACTTCATGTAACAAGTATCTGGATTGTATCCTGAAATGATTTTAGCCACATGCATTTGCACTTGGCAGTCAAATGCGTCTACGTTTAGTCAGACTGAAATCCGACTGCTCTGTGGGACAGATTATGCAAATCTGCTTGTTACGCGGCAACAAATTACCAATTGTGTCATCTGCAGTTTGTTTTGCACAGTAGTGTCTGTCCATATTGCTTTTGAGCATTTCCCTGTGCTTGTACCCAGGCATCATCCTGTGCCCAACCATATGCGTCCTCCATGATTATCTTCCTTATAGACACGGATCACGCACCCAGTGACGTACTGTATTGGGAGGAGTTTCGGTTGTACTGAGAGGAGTGCTGGTTGTACCGGGGGGGGGCATTTGGTTGCTGAATGTGTCTTGAAGAGATGGATGTGTTTACACCGCTACAATATGTGGCTCAAATGCATCTCCACCACCACCTCCTGGAGTGGTTTGAACAATCAGGTTTGTATCTGTTTTAAAGGTGTTTTGGGTGCATTTACAGTTGCACTTTTCTCTGGCTTGGCCTCATCCAGTTATAATCCTGATACTCAAGACGCATGAAGTGACCAGGTGTAAACAAGCTCTCACTGCTCACCCTGTGGCTAAATCTAAATCTTTGAACTTCACTTTAAAATCATTTAAAACCATCTGAATTTTAATTATTAACATGCTCTGTTGCTTTGCTTGAATATGTTTTAATATTTGCACTGCTTTCCAGCTGTAAATTCAAATTCTTGTCCTACAGTTATGCTGTAGAAAAAAATTTGATCAGAGGTTTTTAAAGGAAAATAATGACCTTGATTAACCTTATTAACATACTTCTGTAATTTCATGTGCATTCTGGGTAATGTAGTTTGGACTCACACTCAGCCTGTGCCACCAGCACACTTGCATTGAGCTGCCATTTCTCATCACTGATGTCATCTGCAGCACTAAGAGAGCGAGTGCCGTAATCTCTGGCCTCCATGTGATGCTTCAGCTCCAGGTAACAGCGGCCTATCTCATGGAACAGCCAGGCTTTCTCCAGACCTCCTCGCGCCAAAGGTACCTTTTCCTCCCAGCTACATACATGCAATTAAAACCTTACAACAGTAAGATGACCGCGTTCATACTTATAATGTACACAACACAAAAGAACTTATAAAGACAGATACACTCACACTTCTATGGCTTGTTGAAATTTGCCAATACGTGCATACACTCGGCCGATGTTGTCCAGAGCCCTGGACTTACTGTCCACTAATTTACTGCAGAAAAAAATCAAACAAGAACACAATATTTCAATCAAATTACTTTTTAACTTTTCAAAAGCTGAAGCAACAACACACCCACTTGCCAGCCACAGGTATTCTGGATCATTTTGAAGACTTACCTTTGTTGGGCCAGCTCCAGGTCTTTCAGGTGGTTGTCTAACGCCTTGTCCATGTCTCCCAGGTCCATCAGAGCATTACCTGAGCACAGAGCAACAAGACACAGCCTGAAATCTGACCTTTGTCCACCGCAGCATAAAACTCTGACCTCATAGGATTCAGTTTGTGTATAATTCCTTAGAAAATGATTCACCATGATTTAACTTGATGATTTTGGCGCAATTTAGAACTATTTAAAAACACACATACATACAAATTTGGAGGAATTGACACACACCTCTCAGGTCCCTGTTCACCCCTGTTATCAGACATTTCAGCTTAAATGTGGCACATACAATATAGACAATAAAAATAACGTACCAAGGTCTTCTTTTAGAGGTGAGGGAGGGATGCAGTCATTTGAAAATTTGAAAAAAACATTTGAAAACAGTCCAATAATTTTATTTTAACCAAAAGAAATAAGGGCGTACTTAAAAAAAATAGCATTATAATAGATTATATTCAGTTCTATAATTACATTATAAAATCAATGCAGTTGAATCATGGCTTTCACACAGATGCATCACAATGTGTGTTTACACCCCTGTTGGTTTAGTATCTCCACTAATCTTAGTGTGTACTTTAGCTTTCACTGATCCTGTCTGATCAGTTTTTCCCTGACTCACTGTTTTCTCAGCCTGTGTGAATAAGGGATCTGAAGCCAGGTCAGTATTACCAATGCAACTGTATAGGTTTCCCAGCACCTCGCTCTTATTGGGCAAAGCCTCCTCAGACCAGCCCTGCACGGTCTTCAAGACGTCCCGAGCCTTTTTCAGGCTGCCGTTTGCATTGCCTGCACTCAGTGCTGTAAGGCAAACATTCAAAGCACACAGAAACAATAGAGGCTCACAATAACAAATGAGCATTGAAGCATTAATAGCTAATATTTTGACTAGGCAAACAGGTAAGAACAATCACTAGTGCAGTGTTTCACCTGCGTCAATCTCCTCCAGGTTTTTAAGGATGTAGCAGGTGGGGTCAGAGGGAGGGAGGTGACGGGCGCGGTTCCACTGCTCCCGCAGAAGCTTTCGGTCTCGCTGCCGGGCATAGATGGGCTTCTGTTGCCACCAGAATTCAGTCCGCGTGTCCAAATACGAAATACAGTTCAAGATGACATCCTGCAGCCGCTCGCCGCCACGCGTCTTTCCTTTTATTAGATCTGTGAGGAAAAGCAGTAAATACACACATAAACAAACATACGCTATTATTTAAATGTTTAACTCACTTGTCATATTAACTGTTGTTTTTGTATTCAATAATATGCTACACAGTGTCGATTTTTTAATATAAACCAGCTAGAAAAAGGTTAAATGATAAATATTATAATGATCTATTTATAGTATTTTTTTCTCTCGTTATGTTCCCTGCGATTTCATCACTACTTTTCAAATACCAGGCATTTTGGATATCAGGTTGATTCCATGATTGAGTTTCCATTTAGCCTTTATAACTCCTTAAAATGAAACTTTATCCTCTTATTATTTTCTTTGAATCAAAGATAACAAGCATTTCACCACTCAAATATGTGTTAACTCATTCAGGAACTCTCTCTTTTTTTCTTTTAACAAGTGCTCTTTGCTGACAGTGCCTTGAATAACAGGGTTTTGTTTTTTAGCAAAGAATTAGCAAATACACAAAATGTGGTTAACTAACATTAATGCTAACAACATGAGGACATTAAGGACAATCTAATGAATTACTTAACCCTTGTGTGGTGTTCGGGTCTGTGGGACCCATTTACAATGTTTACCAAAAGATAAAATGAAGTAATTTATTATTTTTTCAACCTCAGTATCCTTGGCCTTTGCTCATTTTCTGTGAGACACATTTTCAATGACTTGTCACTGTTCACCCCTACACATTTATATTACACATGTTGTGGGGTTGGGGTGAACCTGCGGGGAATAAAAGTGTGGAGGTGCTGTGTCCTTCACTCTGTTCTCCTCCTACATGTCCTGCTGTTAGTGTGTGTGTGAGAGGGTGGACAACATGGACAGGCTGCTGACTGGCTACAGCTGCTGAAGGAGAACGCTACGCTGACCACTTGTGATATTTTTTTTTATGGTTATTATTTAAAAAACAATAATGTGGTGGGTCCACCAGACCACTGAGTAACAAAAACACGAACACCACCCAAGGGTTAAACTGTATTTTTCAATCTATAATTTGAGTAACAGGGTTGCACTTTCAATGGGGCCTTGTCAGTCAATATCACAATATCAGTGAAAATAAAGAAAAAAGAATGAGAGAACTTTCTTTTCTACTTCCCCTGATCATAAGGAAATTCGGATTACGTAAATTCCTGTTGAACATGTGACTTGTGGAACATTCCAGATATTTCAGAGAGGGGGAAAGTCTGTACAGGTTTAAGTGAATGTCGAGGGAAGATTGCTTAAAAAAAGATATTAAACAGATTCATGTTTGACATATTTCAATAATTATATTAAAATAAAGTGTAGTTATACGGGGCTGGGACAGCCAAAAATGCTGTTATCAAAGTGCTTTTTTTTATTAATGTTTGAAGTTATTTGTTTGAAACATGGGCATAGATTGTTGTGAAAGACAGTTTATCTATGTTTAAAATGTCCTTTACCTTTACTTTACACACTTTATTCATTTAATAACGTCATAAACTTCATTCTCGATATTCTTCAGCTTTTTCAGTTGTTATAGAAGCATCTGTTAATTATGCTGTACTGTTCTAAAATGTCATATACCTTCAAATAATTATGTGAAAATTTGAAGCTGTGATGTTGTAGAGTACTAACATCATCTTACAGTTATTTTATACATGTACAAATGTGCTATATCTGCAACAAAGTTGGTTCTGCACTATTATAAAACTGACTTTTGAATGATATTGCAACTCCTGTTTTTCACAGCTCCACTAAGACACACACCTTCATCTTTGAGCAGTTTTTCCAGGTACTCTTTGTCCGTGTACAGCTCTCCCAGTAGCTGCTTTGTTGTTCTCTCACTCTTCGGTGTCTTCTGGCCTTGCTGTCTCGACTCCTTCTTCACAGAATGGATCAAAGGCTTTGGTCGAACTTTCTTCAGCTTTTTGCCAGAAAATAAATATATACAGACAGGCACACATACAAACATACAAACACGTATGTACATCATTAAAATCAGATTTAATGGTCCAACGTAAAACAATGTCTTTATCTACTTGTTTTTACACAACCCTTTTTATAGAGTTCACTCAAACCAAGCACTCTATAATGATGTATATTATTGGATATACAATTTAAATGAGCTATTTCTGATGTGTTCATATTGTTATGGTTTATTGTAACAAAACAACTTTTTAAATTGCTTGAGGAGCAAAAAAGGACTCATATTTGCCTCATCGGTTTTATGGAAGAAGGAGAGATCACCCTTATTCTCCAGTTTCACGGACGAGGGACCTGGAGAGGCAGAAAGACAGAAGATGTAGTTTCACTTCATTAGGCAGATACACTAAATACAACTTCCAACTCTTATATTTGGAGTTAGTTCACCTAAAGGTAATTTCTACTTTTCAGCAGTTTTAATGGTCCCATTAGAAATGCATACTATTTCTCAACTGGCATGAGTGCTTGTAATCTGCCCATGTTCTGACAAAAACATTCAGTGAGACTGTTTAGTGCATTCACAGCACACACCATGACAATGACTATAAATCATTAGGGAAGCAATTTTCTGACTAGTGCTGTTTATTTCTAATAGGGCTTCAATGTAATACAGTAGCCACAGCTAAAGGGAACTCATTCATTCTGGCTTCTAATAATTGACTATTGTAGCAAACTGTACATTTTAAATGAATATACAGCTGTGTGACAACAGTGACACCACAACAGTTTAAGCACAGGTTTTGTAAAACAGTTTTTCAAGGTGTATCATAAATAAACGTCATATTTTCTGTATTAAGTAAATCTGAGAATCGTTGTAGGGTGTTCACCACAAGTACTCACTGCCCACAGAGTTGGTGATGGCCTCCTGAGCTTTCTGTATGCCCAACCTGAACTCCTGCAGCTCTGGACGCAGTTTGTGGCCACGGTGGTAGAAGACCAGCGCAAACTCAAAGTCACCCATGGTATAAAGAGCCTCTGCCTTCTGATACAAACCCTGAGGGAGATGAGGAAAAACCTCTCAGCCATAACACTGTGCTACAGACTCCTAATCTGTGTTGAAACATCTCCCGAGTCTCAACAAAAGACAAAATTCATATGCAACAAAGCTCATACTACTAAAACCACATGTAGGTGCAATAGTAGTTGACACTGATAACAAGTGAATTATAGTATTTCACCAAATATGGACATATGTTGCATATTCCCTGACACAAGGCTGGTATCCCAGACATGCATTACATCTATTCTTGGACTGAACTGCAGTTCTAAACCAGCATTTTTAATCCGGGTTTAGGCTTAATCAGGGTCTGGGAAACCTGCCCATACTGTTTAATCAATTTAGTACTGAACACTGTCACTGACTCGAATTAAGCAGAAACCAGATACCAATTTATGGAGTTAAAATGGAATTTATGAAATAATTTATGAAATAATAATAATACAAACTGAGGCTAAAAGCCTGTTCTGCATCGCAAAAGGTAATTGGCCAATACTTTATTGTTCATGCACACCTTGAAAAAGTTCTTGTCCTCTTTGAGGGAATCCTCTGCATCCTTCAGTGCGTTCTCTGAATCCCCCATTTTCACATAGCACTTCGATCTGGCAACCAAGCAGTTCTTGTCGTCCGGCTGTAATGTTAGAGCCTAAAGCAAACGAACGAGTTTTATATATTTATAATTTCTGCTTTAGGTAAAGGGCGAGTTTATTTTGTCCAGCAATGCCCATCAGACTCGAAGGTTAAGTTAGGCTAACGTTAGCTCACTAAGTTAGAACTTACCGTGGAGTAGCTTTCAATGGCCTTGGCATATTCTCGCTTGTGAAAGAGTTGGTCACCTTCCGCCATATAGGTGGAAAAGGTACTTTTCGGACCCTGTTCTTCCTCCTTATCGGACATTTTAGCTTAAATGTGGCTAAAGTATTAGGGTAGTATCCTGCTAGCAGCACTGGTAGAGGCAGCTCCAGGCTCAGGACGGTCCCATCTGAGGTATCCTAGCAACCGCTTAACAAAACCAGCGTTAAGGTTAGCTTAGCCTAACGGCTCCTATTACCCACAGATTAGCAGTAAGCTAATTTCTGTAACAGTGCTAAGAGAGGTTTGACTACCAAACACAAGTGTGGGCTGCTGCTGTTTAGTAAATACCTCTGAAACATTTTCATGCTTGGTATTTCACTAAACCTGCCCTCTAGTAACTAATCAGCGGTCTCTGGTGGGACAAGGGGCTCCACAAACTAAATTGTTCAGACTCTGTCAGAAAAACGGATTTATTCAACAACAAAAAAATTTAGATTTAGGATGCAATGAAGACCTAATATCTGCTATTAACTAGTAGTACCTTACATTTTAGTTCAAGCGTTGCTAAATGTTTCACTGTTATGCCTCTACCTGTCTATTGTGAATACAAGTCCTAGCATGTGAAAGCTGTTAAAGGTGCAGATGTGTAAGATGTAGTGGCATCTAGCGGTCAGGTTGCAGATTGCAATCAACTTAAAACAGCCTTTTTACATTTTTTTTTTGTACAAATAAAGTACAGCTGGGGGGAAAGAGAAAAAACTAACAAATAAATAAGTAAATAAATAACTGAAAAAGTAAACAGAACTATGAAATAAACTAATACAGAGAAATAACAATAAAGGAGACAAATACAATACTAACTGAATACCCCTCCCTCCCCCCTCACTTTCCAGGCATGTAGGACCCACAGCAGCTGTCAGGTTTTCTGCCATCACCTATACCGATTTCGTTTTGATTCTTCATGTTTTCACATCTTTGACGACAAAGATTCACCCTCCCCTGCTTTTCTTGTGCTAAATGATAAGTAAGATCCTGCTTTTGTTAAATTTGGGTTCTCAAACTTTTCACAGCACAGAATGGTAGGTCAACACCAGGAGCAACCACTGATTCTTCTTTTTTCTACATCTTCCAACCTGTGCTGTAGCGTCACCGCTTCAGCATAAAAACACAAAAGGCATTTTGTAGAGTCGGTGTTTGGTTTGTCCGTTCTGGGCTATTGTAAAAACATGGCAGCATCTGTTGGAAGAGGACCCGCTCCCTATGTAGATACGAAGGGCTCATTCTAAGCTAACAAAACACAACTATTCATAGTTAAAGATGATTATACACTAATGAATGGTTTTGTATACTATATTCCATTTCTGCTAATAGACCCCCCTAAATCTTACACACTGCACCTTTAACAAATAACAAAATGTTAACATAAAAGGGGAATTCCACCTATTTTCAAATCTCATCCATATTTCGATCACTGAGACGTAAACAGTCAGTCGGTCAGTGTTTAGAAGTGGTGCACTGTAGGGAAAACTTAACAGCTCGGATTTCTTTACAATAGTGGTGATATTGCAACCCCTGGTTCCGGTCTACAATGCATATACATCCATTGTATTTACGATCCAAAATGACCAGTGATGCCACATGTCTTTGTTTTACATACAATGTATAAAATGGTACAATAAAAAAATAAGATTTAAAAAAATAAACAAAAACACCTTTGACATTATAATACCCTGCTAGAAAAAAACAGCATAACCCACCAGCAAAACCAGCACATATTGTGTTTTGGATGCTGGTATGCTGTAGAATTATGCAAAAAGTACAAAAAAAAATAAATAAATAATAATAAAGAATCGGTGGAATTCCCCTTTTAAAGATGACTGTCGTTCTGGCTACATCAAGCATTTATTAATTTTTCCCAAAAGTGCATGCCTGACAAGTTTACGTTCTTGGTGTACATAATCAACCGATCATTTGAAAAAAGACTCAAAAGTCAAATAAAGGGGGGGGGGACCAGAAAAACTAACTTTATTTACATGGCTATTTGAAAACGGTCCATAGTCAAGACTGTTCCTTTAGCATGAGCCACACCAATGTGGATGTTATCTTTTGGCTGCACCACAGGGATCTTAGGACAGGCAACGCAGCTTAGTGTCAAACTGAAGCATACTTGAGGCTTTAGGCAAACAGGGTAATGTTTAATGTAGCATGCAGGGGGAGACACCTGTACAGCAAATTTCCAAATTCCAGTTTCTAAAAATGCTCTAACGTTATCCTTTAACCGGCATGGTGTGGAACTGCACCCAGGCCCATGAGTTATACCTTCATCTATTTGCTCTAGATCCCTTCACAGAAAGCGAGCCGTCTGTAACCAGCCTGGGCAAAAGCAGTCGGAGTGGCTCCAGCTCCCACCTCACCAGTTGCAAGTTACAACCTGGTGGAAAAGCAGAAAGCTACTAAAATCTCTCCCCAGCCCTGCCATCTGTAAACATACAGATCCTGGTGCATCTAAAGATCATCCATCCACACTCAGAACTCCTCAGTGGCTCACATCTGGCTCTGTGAATTTACAATAAATATTGATATCAAAAAAGTGACTATATCACGGTGGCTGAGAAGACCCAGCAAACTGTAAACAAAAAACGAGCTGCAAATGCAGGAAACACTTTCAACACAATGACAACAACATGGGCGCTGCACTTTACAAACGCGCTGTAAATTCATTAGACGCTCTACAAACTCAGAAAGCACTGTCATCAAAATAACGACACTGACGCTACATTTCACAAACACGCTGCAAATACAGAAAACACAAACTTTAGAAACGCTGATAAGCCGGTCACCACACAATGGAGCTATTTCTGGAGGACACTCAAAGAGGACGGAGCCATTCAGACTTTTAAATTCAATGCAGCATAAACACTCAGCGGTGAAAGTAAGTTAATTTTTATTTGAGCAAATTACTACTAACACTGTACCATAATGGGAATTAGCTGTGACTTAGAGTGTAACTGTCAGAGTTAAACTAGTAATACCAGATTAACTACCACAGCACAGCTGTGACATGTCAGATAGCAAACTAGCCAGCCAAGTTAACCATGAACTTGGGATGTGAGTGTCTGTGAACGTATCTACTTTTGTCAGTGATTTTCATTCACAGATATTTTATCCCCTTTGAGCCTTCCAGAAACATTTCCCTTGTGTTGTAGCTCACTTCCGAGGTGTTTGGACTGGCTTTGCAGTGTTTCTGAAGTTGCCTGCATTTTCTTTATTTGCTGTGCATCTGTAAAATGTAGATCTGATGTAACAGCATTTTAATTAAAGTGTTTTCTGTATTTGCAGCACGTTTGCGTTTTGTAGTGATTTTGATGAGTTTTCTGTGTTTGAGTTTGCAACGTGTTTTTAATTGTACGGTGAACAGGGACTTGTCGGCCACCGTAATGCATTTCATAGTTTAAAAAAAAATAATAAACAGTTGTCAACTATCAACACAAAGAAACACTTTACATTCCAGTAAAATGTACAATGCAGCAACAGGTGAATGGCAACATTGAAACATGAATGTTGCAGAGAGAGAAGAGACCACTAGGAGGCGCTGGATCACCACACTCTCTGCACTCTTATATGCAGTAGTACAGTTGGCAAATCGGGTACCTGGTGCTATGAAGTAGCTGGTACCAAAAGCGAGCTGAGTCGAGTTAAGCCGTACAGTGGAAAAGTGAAATTTTACGTAAATTTAACCCAGCCAGTGGGAGAATATTCAACAAACAGGGCTCATTTCTGTTTCTAATTTGGCATGGGACAGGTATGTGTATTCACGTAGCATCACAGCATTTGAGGAGATTGAAAAAACAAATGAGATGATGGCTCACTTTAATCCGAGAACTATGTCTTTGCTTGATTTGTTCATTTGTAAACTTGTGATGCTGGTCTTAGTTCCACCTTTGGGTATCACAAGACCCCAAGTTACAAGCAAGCAGTGTAAGCTTAGCTTTGATGGCATGGGGAGCAGGGGCTGATGGGAGTTAAAGTTTAGATAATTTCCTGTGCGATTCTTGCTCTGACATAATGAACGCTGTGAGACTTTTTCAGTCTGTGGTAGCCATGAACCATAGCATTCTACATTCACCACATGAAAACGTTTGAACTACACAGTTCCATGAGCAAACTAACCAAATGCCATTGGTTTGTTGAAGTGGTTAGTTAATGAGGACCATTATTTAAGGTACTTATTGAAACATAACTGTGGAGACTGCAGTGGTTTCATGACAAACCCTAATTAAAAAGCTTGCGATCCAAAAGGAAGGGGTCTTATTCAGAGAGGATTGGTGCATTTTGCAGTCGTTTTCGAAATGGCTGTTTACAGAATGATCATTTACTGGCCGTAAACACCTTGTTGCATCAGATCAAGTCAATGGCACGGACTCAGGGTCCATTACAGAACAGAGTAGTATAGAGTGGGAGTGGTGGGAGAGTCCGTTTTGGGGTAGTCTGGTGGTCGTGTGGGTCTACTGCATACATGCTGGAGAATGCCCAGTTAGCCAAACTGGAAAAAGAAATTTCCAGGTCCAGATGCTACAAAACAGAGAAAAGCCAAATGTGAGCCTAGAGAGAACAGTGCTTCTACAACATCTCAAAGCATGGCAATTACTGTAAATGCATCTACTACAAAACACCATATGACATCTTGCACAAACATAGTAATTTGAACAGAGCAATAAAGTAAGTACTGGTTTAGTGTGCTGAACCACAGGGCTTACCTTCGAAACTGAATCCGCCAGGGCCGCTGAAGAACGCTTTGAAGATGTTGTTGGCATCGAAATCTGCAACACAAACATATACAGCATTGCTGAATTTAAAATTTAACACTTTCAATACCATTTTAAGACCTCTAATAAAACCAATAGAGTTCCCACTGTACAATGCACACAGACTCATGGGCCATCTCATTTTCCCTCTTTAGCTCTACAAACTGCTCTCTTTTCCTTGCAGTCTTTTCATTTTGTTTGACTTTAGCAGTTTTGCCGTTTTCTTATTTCATCAAAGGCCAATTTCTGACCACAGAACTACTGTTCACTGGATATTTTTGATTGGTGGACTATTCTGAATTAGTTACACAAGCACTAATTATTATCAACCCAGTCTTTAGGCATCATCTCAGAATGCCGTACGCTCATTACTGATAGATGATGTGAAAAGCCTGAAACGATTAGCATATTAAATGTTTCTGTATGACACAATAAGCGACAGACCCATGTTCATGTCATCATCCTCCAGGTCATGACCACTGTCATAGCGCGATTTCTTCTTGGGGTCAGAAAGCACGGTGAAGGCTTCGCCCACTTCTTTAAACTTCTTTTCCTCCTCCTTCTGCACCTCAGCACTCGCTCCACTGTGACGGTCTGAGAGAGCAAGAAAGAAATTTGGAAGTAAAGACAAGGGAAAAAAAAAAAAAGCATAGAGAGGAAAGAGAGAAAGACCTTCAGGACCTGCACACTGTTTTTTTAGTAAGTAAGAGCAAACATCAAAATTTCTCCTCATGGTAATTCACCATGTGCTATAGATGTGGCAGACAGAAATAAGGTTGAAAGACACTGGATTATTCCTTTAAATGTAAATCTCAAAGCATTATAACTGGATTTTGAATCTCTGAGCTGATGTTAACATTATGATAATGTTTTATAAAATCAGAGAGTGTATGCGGGACTCTACCTGGATGGTGCATAAGGGCTCGTTTGCGGTAAGCTTTCTTGATCTCATCTTCTGTGGCGTTTTTGTCCACTCCGAGAACTTTATAATAATCTTTCCTTTTACTCTTCTTCAGCTCCAGCTGAGCAGTCTTCAGCAGATGTTTATGTTCTGAAGGACAAAAGTTTTAAAAGGCATTGAAAATGTTAACAACAGGAGCATCAGGAAAAATTTAGAGCTCAAGAGTTACTGAGTACTGTGCATTCTGACCAGCACTTTCAACAAGCTTACCTTTAGTTTTCTCTGTCTGATAGACCTTCTCATAGTCTCGCACTGCTTCCTCATACTGCTCTGTGTCCATGTAACTACAGGAACAATACAGAGATCAGTGCTTGTACATACACTCACTTACAGAAACACAGACAAAAATAGGCTTACCACTGGGCTCTCCTTAAGTAAGCTTTAATATAGGATTCATCCAGTTTAATAGCCTTTGTACAGTCTTCTATGGCCTGCTCCAATTTCTTTAACTAAAAGAAAAAAGAAAGAAAGAATATTATGAGCTTCTGTTTACATCTGTTTCTGAGGCAATGGGTTAACAGACGAGAAACTACACGTCCATATCACCAGAAGAGTACAGCCAGTGTATGAATACGACAATAATTTGATGATAGAGCTAACATATGGCAAGATAATTAATATTCCTGTTTACATGAAACAACAGTCAGTTACCCAAAAATGAGTTTGTGTGGCCCAAACAGTAGGTCGAACTGGTGAGAACTTAAGTTAAACTTTGTGTTATAATCAGTCATATGCAAAAATTTGGCCACCCCTGGTGAAATGACAGGTTTTGTTGATTTTCTAAGTGAAAATAAGTTAACACAGAGAACAGAAAACATATATTGCAGAATTACTGATTATTTGCTGAATTTAAAGCAACATTATATTTTAAGGTAAAATTGTTTTAACAGCTTTAAAATCATTTTGATGTCACACAGACTTATAATAGTGAGGGCACCTTGGTCACTGCCACTCCAGAGCTGAATAACTCTGTCTTATATATCTAAATAGGTCTAAAATCACTGGGAATTCAGTGGATACCATTTGGAGTGAATTCTTTACATGCCTTAATAATTCTAGAAAAGTCTTAAAAACATGGTACAATTAAAGGGTACTTTACTCAAGATAAAAGATTAGAATGTGTTTTTATATGACCAATGTTATGAGAGGAATATTGCCTTATTTGAGCAACAAGAAGAACCTTAAACGTGCACTAACACAGAGCTACTAAGGAGAAGAACTGAACGACCCAGTTTCATACTGCGTTTGGTCAGGAATGACAAACAGACTAAAAGCTGTGAGGAATGATGGAGGCAGAGTGTAGTGTGTCAGCAGAGATTGTGTGGTTCCTGCTTTAAATAACTTAGATTCATTTTCTAAGCCCTGTGTTTCTCACCAACACAATAACAAACAAGCACTTTCTATGACTTAGAGACATTCAAATACAGCTTTTGTTATAAAACTCAGTGTAAACACACAGACAGACAGACCAGAAGAAGAATGCTAAATGCTAAAGCAAAATGGATAATTGGCAAAATGGTAAATTAATACACAAATAACAAATCCTACTAAAGGAACAGCAGGCCATATTAACTCTTATTCACCAGGGTATATTTTGGGTTTTCCATCTGAGTTTACATGACCAAATCGTAAGTCAAATTATTCAGTAACTGCATGAAATAAATGTAATTTATTTTTTTATTTATTTTTTGTAAAAGCTCCCCTCAAATTAACAGAACATGTGTTTTATGATCATACACATATTGCTATATGCTTACAATTTACTGCTGAAAGCCAAAAATCTTAGATGGTCTTTGTATTTCTTTATAAAAATAATTTTTACAGAGCAGATCACTGAAGAGATGCCATCTGTTTATAGTTTATAGCCCAGATTTGTGGAAAAATTGGTTGACTTTCAGTAGACAAAAAAAAATTGTAAGTTCAGCTTCTTTTATTATAAGGGTTTAAAATTACATCACCCATCTATTTGACTGGAAAGAAGACAGATACAGCTCTCATATGACACCCACCTTTTGAATGTAGCTTATGAAATACAAAAGTTATGAAGAATATGACGAAGTACGTTTTGGAACCACCGGTGGTCCCAAAGAGTTGAAAAGGTTAATTATTTATCCATTTAAATCCATTGAAAAAAACCTTCAGGCATCTGTTCAGCCACATAAATGGCAAAAATGAGGCAAATCAAAAGATGTAGCTCAAGAATAAGGATGCACCATTTTGTGGGCCGATGCCAATATCCAATGCTTTTAAATGTATATACCTGCAGATGCCAAATTATAAACATTTCAACAAAATATAGGCATTAAGACTACATCTACCTGGATCAACATTACAAAGAAATCTAACATTTATTTCTAGTTTTACAACTGCAGTGAAATTAATAAAACAACCATTTTAGCACAGTAGCCTAGCCTCACCTAAACAGTCTGCTCTTTTAGAGTTCATCCAATATCAGTTTGAAATATAGGTCAAATCTAAAACATCTGGCCAATGCTGGTAAATTTTTTAAGCAATTATCTGCCGATAAGCATATGATTCCATCATCTTCATCCTACTCCGGAACAGGACGAAAGGTTTAAAAATTTACCTTGGAGCCAACAGTGGCCCGGTTGCAGTAGAGCTTGGCGTTGGTTTTGATGTTGTTAGGATCAATGGTCAGGGCCTCCGAGTAGAGATCATAGGCCTCCTCAAAATTACCCTCTTTAAATGCTTTGTTTCCCTCTTCTTTCTTAGCCTTCAGTGCTTTGGCATTCTACAAGTAACCAATAAAATACAGATTTATTCATGCATGACTAGCAGGGGAGAGAGATTTACATCGGGCACCCGTTCACATTCTCTAAATCCAGGTTTCTAACTCTGATCATGAACATTCTGCCATGTCACGCATCTTTCAGTGTTTTCCATTATAACATGCACTTCAAATCAAGAGCATGATAATTAGCTGATTTGTTGGATCATGTTTGTGAGAGCAGGGAAAACACCAAAACATGCAATGCAGGGCTACTTCAGTACCTGCAGTGGAAAGCCCTGCCTTATAGGGCCCAAGGCATGGAAAAAAGCAAGGGGAATTTGGTTTAAATAAAGGAATTTGAAATAATATGTAAATACTGTTAAAGGGCTCATATCCCACTTTTGTCCCCTCATGTTCGCTTATAATATTTGTGGGTTTATGTTCCAAAACAGTCAGAAATAATTTTACATGATCATTTTCCACTCTCTCTTTATTCCTCAGAATTAAAAAAGTTGTTTGTTACTGTGCCTTTACGATTGACATATGTAAATGATCTCTGTTTTGATTGGCTCTCCAGTTTTGTTCCTTATTCAAAAAGCAGTTCAGGCTGAAACATCCTATAACCGAAGTGTGAATGGGCATTTTCTTAGTACATTTTGGATAAGGCACAAAACAAGGCGGCCCATCAGAAAAGAGATAAATTTATCTTATATATTAGTCTTAAAGGCATAGTTACACAAACGGCCTGTTTAATTGTAAGGGATAAAGAGGTTGGAAAATTGTCATACGAAAATGAATTATGACCGTTTTGGTGCATAAAACAACAAAATATTATAATTGGAACTGGGGAAAAATAAAATGCAAGAAAAATGTAAGTTATTGATCCTTTAATCTGTGAGGTATTCACTGTCTGCTAAAACCTGCTATAGATTTGAAACACTGTCTTCATCAATACATTTCATCATATTACATTTGCAATCAAGCAAAAATCAGTAGTGCTGACTCACTCTGCAGGCCAGACGAGCCTTTTCGTGATCAGGCGCCATGCGGAGTGCCTGAATGAAAAACTGCACAGCTTTATCGATGCAGTCTTCATAATACAGACACAAGCCCCTCACATACAGGGCATCACCGTTAGTGGAATCCATCCGCAAGATATCACTGTGTGAGAGTGAAACAGAGAGATAAGGCCTTAAATGAAAGCAATCAAAAGAACTGACGGAAACACTAGTTTAACTACATTAAAATTTAAATGTTGAAGAGATTTTAATACATTAGTTAAATTTTTCCTTAACCTCCAACTTAACGCTCACTCTAATCCTAATCTTAAACTAACCCTGGTTCTCATCCTAGTCCTAACTGTCACGCCACTAACAACCAACCAGACAGTTAAACCTTTGATGCCTACACCAAAAACACTATTTTTAACACTGTTACTCAGTTACCTGGCGACAGACTGGGCTTCTGGGTAGCGGCCGAGCAGCGCCAGGCATTCCGCCTTAAGCACCTTAAACCTGTGACACGCAGAAGCCGACTCCAATGCTCGATCCATACAGAACACAACCTACATACACACAGATCAGGAAAGTAGTTAAAATCTCTAGGCAGTAACTGCATCTTTTATAAAACGTTTTGAAAATAGTTTTGATTCTAAAATCTGATTGGCTGAGCAATGTTCAAAGCTATTTTAAAATACTTGATATATGCACACCTTTAACCACCTCACAGTTGAACTCTTCATTACTGCACCCAGTTACGAAAAAAAGGCTGCGCTGTTTATGGTACAATCTTCGACTGTAACGCTGCTCGCATGGACCACCAAGTGTACTGATAATGTAGTAATAAGGCTAAAAGATAGCTAATAAGCTAAACAACTTCTCAATTAATATCACAGGCTTTGAATTAAAGTATTTACTTTAATTGATTCACTATAAAACTGCAACATAAATCTGTAAGAAATTTGTCTCACATGCTTCACATATCTGTTTTACTTCTGACTTTAGTAGCATCAAACCCAGGTTGAATCTCAAAATGGCTACGTCCATCCTATATAGTGCACTTAAATCATGTAATTCTGACTTCTACACACAAACAGTGCAGTATTTGTTGAGTATAGACTTGGACACATGTGGCTGAATCCCAAATGGCTATTTGTTAGACATATTATATGCTGTTTGGGTGCAGGTGTCTGTATTTTCAATCCTGCATAGTGCACCAAGTGTGTAGGGAGCCATTTGAGATTCAACCCCACTGTGGAAAGACGGACATACAACACTATTAGCTTGGTGCTAAATAAAACTGGAAATCACACAGAGGTGCTGATGGACATTACCACTGTCACATTAAGCAAAGATTTTTGCATTGAACAGTGTCCTATGTTCATTATTATAAGACAAAGTGAAAAACATCATGAAATGACATTCTTCTCTTTCAGCAGTCCATGTTTGCTTGGCAATAAAAACACTCTAAAGGAACAAAATTTGTTGGTGGAATTATTGGAATATGGAATATTAAATTGTCTGCCATTTTATAAAAGCAATAAAACGCTTCAGTCATGCGTTACAGTGATTTTATCACAGTTAATGGGGTTTTAAGGGGGTCTAATATCACCCTTACCTGTGATAAAATCTCTAACACACAGCATCTTGTGGCTTATTGCTTTAATATATCGCTCATATTACTTTACTTTAGTAGGTGTCAAAAACTGACCATTCTGAAGTCTCGCTTTTCGAAACCAATCTCAGCCATTCGCTCATACTCCAGAATTGACTCTGCGTTCTTCAGCTGCAACACAAAAAAAAACAACAACAAAAAAAACCAAACAAATTTATCACTTCAGCAGGACATACACCATCACCACAAGGTTTTTTGTAGAAAAAGTAGTTTTCAAAAGAAAGTTCTCTGATATACATCATATAATATGTCATAGTCTGGGTTGAACACCAATTCAAACAGCTGTAAGAAGCCACGATTGGCACTAGCTTTTGTGAGCTCTGGCATGATTGGCCGTAGCACGATTGACAGTGTCATGACCGGCTGCCTTACTTCTTGTTGAGCCTGGCTGTTGTCTGGCTCCAGCTCCAGAACCTTCTGGAAGCAGCGACTGGCAGCCATAGCATTGCCAAGCAACAGGTGGCACTTGCCCTCCCGTAGGTGACCCTGGGGGACAGAAGATGAGTGAGTAACCACACATATGCACTCACACACACACAAACAGAAAAAGCACTGACTAACACCTTTCCATGACTTCATCTGTGTAATCATCAAGACAAATCCAGCTTTCAGTGAAGTACATCCACACACACACACACACACACACACAGTCATAAGTTTTGGCACACATCATTGAAGGTATGTTTTTCAGTCTTAGAGAATTTTTTACAAAAATGCTTGAAAGTTGTAACCTAACCAAATATGAATAATGCAGGTCACACTTGTGTATGAAATTTTCGAAAAGTATTTTTTTTTGCCTATTTCATGTCTACTATTGTTCAAAAAGCACAGTGATCTGTAAAGGGGCCATTTTTTCCACATAGGCACAGAATTTAGCTGACCAGTCTTAACATAACCTGACCTGCCTAACATGACCATATATGTACTTACAAGATATATTATGCAGTCTTCATTTTAACTACATTGTTGTAGTGTTAAGTGTGGTGTGTATTGCATCCTTCGCACATCCACAAGTCTAAAGCTTCAAAAGAACATCATGTTCTAATGCAGAAAGGGATGCTGGCTTCAGAAGACATACTGAGCTCTTCCTTATAATGAGGTCATGTTCCAGCACTAACAGCATCCACTCTCCTCTAGTGGCACTCTTCGTAGTAAAACTCAAAGAAAACTCCACCTGGACCAAATGTTCCCAATCCCACTACATGCAGAGGGTAGTTTAGGAGGTAGATTTATACAGCAGTATACAGCAGAGGTATTCAGCTCTCGTCCAGACTCCAGCACAGTCTGGCGATTTCCTTGTTCAAACACACCTACTAAACCTGGCAATCAAGAGTTAAATCAGGGGCATTTAAGCCAGGAAATGACCAACATATGCTAGAAATCGTCGCTACAGGAATTGACCTCTCCAGATGCAACGTAAGCCAATGTATGTTTAAAATGCAATACTTAAACCTTACAATAAATATTCTAACAACATTAATGCCATTAATAATAATAAAATAGTGGAGTTAAATCCCTCCTGCAATGGTGCAGCGCAGTACCAAACAATCTGCACTGGTACCAGTCCGCAGCTTGGTGGTTGGAAACCTGTACTCTAAATCATGTAAGTGCAACTTCCATTGTAAATGCCAGCATCTGGATTTCCAACCTTCATGAAAGTGTCGTCTAGCCGCACAGCTTGCTGGGAATCTTCTAGCGCCTCTCTGTAGCGGCTCAGCATCATTAGAGTGGCCGCACGGTTGCCATAGTAACTGGCGTTCTTCGGGCACACATCTGTAAAATCAAAAGAAAAATCACTACAGAGACATGCCCACAAAAACAAGAGATTCAGCGAGGTAAGGGGAACATCATGAAAACTTTCTAAAAATAGCACTGGGCCATGTTTGTTTTGGTCTATACGGAAGAAGGTCGCAAAAACGTTCCCAAAACAAGACGTTGCCATGGAGAAAAGTTCTATTTTGGTTTTGCTGTTAGAAATCCTCTAACACGAAAGAGCAAAACTGCACTGAACAGATAAACACACCTTGTATGAATATAACCCAAAATGTGGATAGCAATTTACCCATAAATATCAAATAGGGCAGTTTCCCAGCATGAGATTAAGCCTAAGCCCAGACATTTTAATGGGGAAAATATCACTGCAATGCAGTTTAGTCTAAGATTAAACTTAATCCATGTTCAAGAAACGAACCTATAAGCAGCATTATTAAGGAAGGGTTAACTGTGTGTGTCCATCTATAAGCTCTACTACAGTATTCAGTCGTGTGTGAGGATCATATGTATGATGCATTATATTCCTTTAAGAAAGTCTCAGGCAGTAGCGAGTGCATATTCTGTTATTCTCTTGATGTGAGATCAGAGAGAAGAGAAAAAAGGCAGCAAAAATAGATAGGAAGCACAAATATACATGTACATAAGATACCTATGGCCTTGGTGTAGTAGTTGAACGCTTCAGAATAATCCTTCTTAATGTAAAAAGCATTGCCTTGCTCTTTGTAGCCCTCTGCTTCCCTGGAAAGATAAACACACACACACACAAACACACAGTAAGATGATAAACAGAAAAAAGAGCAAAAAATAGGGACCAGAAAGTTTTCTAGAAGACACAGAACAAAAGGCATCCATCCATGCACTGACCTTCTTTTAATAACAGAGTGACAGCAGAATCATCTCAGGATGGGGGCGTTTAATATTAGTGTTGCCCAGACGTCATCTCAATGATTGAGTTATGCAGAAATAAAAAAAAAATGGTAGATTTCCCCTTTAAAACATGAAGCAATTCATGCATGTGCACTACTGAGTGATGCCCTAGTAGATGGAATTCAACAAAAAAAGCTAAATGTTAGCAGTGTAAGACTATTTAACACTTGAGACTAGCAGTAGTAAAAACAGTCCTTGTAAAATCTGTATTGCCAGTATTTTGAGGCGAAGCACCACCATCAAGGATTTTGATACATCAATTAATTATGAATTTAAAGACAAACCATGCCAAAGAGTAAAGTGAATTCACATAGCTCTAAAACTATTCAAATGTGAAGCTATCCAACCATAAATGTCATTTACTCAAGCTTAGTATGTTTTATTTGTCATGCATAACACAGCTTTTACCAACATAAAATAAATAAAAAAAAAAGAGTTGAATGAGTTAGAATTTATAGGCACCTACTGAGCACTTCAGTTAGGGAGAATTAGTACTGGTGTTGGCAGATACTTGATGATCAGGTATCAGAAGGGGAAAAAGTGGCATTAGTGCATCCTATTTAATAGTATAGAGGTAAATCACAGTACCAACACCAAGACCAGAACATAGCTCACTAAAAGAAGGCCATGTGCTTCAGGACCGAGTGATCTAATCTATCCCTGGAGTGTTCAGTGTCTACCACATCCCAAATCTGTCCAAACAGGAGCTGAATAATTCAGATTTACTGACAAATTCTGTAGATCTGTAGATGTGTCTGTAGATTCTTGACAGACAGATATATGTGTGCTGCCCTTGAAGAAATATCGTACAATGAGCATTACTAGCTTAAATCTCCTCCAAGATTTCTCATATGAAACAAGATGTCTGCATGTGTATGTTCAACCTAAATAGTCACACACAGGGGTGGATGATACGGCAAAAATATTCTCTTTGCACAGCTTCTGTACAGTAATAGTAAGCTTGTGGATGATTGTGCGAGAGCACATATGGTCACTGGGGAGATGGGTACGGTATCCCTAACTGCTAAATACAGAAACTGGGCTATGTTCGGACAGAAAAGACCAGAAATTGTCCTGAAGATAGAAAGCAGAAGTTTACTTAAAATGTCAGTTACATGGAAAAGTTTTGCTGCCCAAAATATTTCTTGAGAAATCTTGAATTTAGTTTAAAGAGGCCACATTTTAAAGGGCTTTTTATTTTTATTGTTCCCTCTATTAAGGACATTTATATGAGCTGAAAACAGTCATGTTCCATTTCGACACGACCATTTTTCTAATCACTCTTACTCCCTTAGAATAAAACTGGCTGTTTTTGTTCCAGCGGATTTGAGCTGATATAAATGATCTCTGTCCTCATTGGCTGCTCTGTACTGTGCGTCATTCAAAAAAGCAGACAGGGCTAATGCTACATTCATGACCAAGCAGGACCTGGGACCGTTTACAAAAAACTTCTTTACTCTGAAATCTTATCTGTTTAGTCACCATGACAACTTCAGTTAGGACCGAATTTAGGCAGAAGCGACGACAGAACAACAGTTCTTAAGTTCATAATCTTATCCTAACTCCAGAGAGGAAAACAGTATTACAGAAACATCCTAACTAGGCAGAATTTCCTACATACTGTCCCAAGTTTAAGAGAACCCCAGAGATGTCCTAACTCCTGTTTTAACCATCTGTTTCTATCGTTTGATGCAGTGACAGGCAGCACAGTTCACTGTAACTAGCATAATTAATGTTCCATTTCTTTATATTGAAAATGGTGCTTTGACTTACGAGTTGTTTTTTAACAGCGTTTTAAAAATCCCAGACACAGCAGACACGATCTTCACCGTCCCCTCTTATTAATGATACAATTTTACAGTGATTGTAGTGAATAATGAAGAGCCAGAGCCAAATATGTGTCCGTTTGTAGGGGGAATAACTTTAGCGCACTCGGCTAAAGTGTTTGGGAAACTGAGGAGCAGTGACGCGCTAATTACACGAATTACACGCTGCCACAATATCCTTAAATTCAAGTATACAGCTCTTTAGTTTTGTTTGATCTTTTTACCATCAGTAACAGTAGCTACTGTCTGGCTAACTAACATGATTATTTTGTGTTTACGTTTCAGCTGTGCGAGTATGGTCAGTTGCAAGGTAACAGACATGACAAGTGATTGTCGACTTTGATCGAGTAGGTTAAGATTCCTTAACCTCAGCCTTAAGATTGAGATAAGATGCTGCAAGATAAAATTCCTAAACTAAGGTAAGACTTGCTTCTGTAATACGGCCCCTGAGAAGTTTTTGACTCCCAAATAGAAAAACCCATTTGAACATCCTTCCAAGTCGTGAATCCCACTAAGAAAGTCAGGAGTTTCTCAAGAGCTCTGACTTCAGAGTTGCTATTCCATGATGTTGCTTCAATATGGTGGTGAGTTTAGGTGAAAAGTAGCAGGAAAATTCCAAGACACCATTTGTTATGAACACAGCACTTATAACCTTATAACTTCAGACTGCTTTTCACATCACCAAAAACAATGAATTCAAAACGTATTTTCAGCTTATTTTAGACATGCATATAGACAATATGGACTGAGGAGTGAAGTATGTTTTAAAACTTTAACAACATTTACAGACTACATCAAACTCTTATTTATAGACAAATCAAAAAAGAAATGCGCCTTTTAAAAGAAATGCAACAATATATGTAAAGCAAAAACAGAATAATGGCAGTTGCAAGGGTCATTAGTAAAGGCTATAAAACAATCATCACCCGTCCCTAATGGCTTCCCGACACACCTTTCAGAAAGCACCAAACCTGCCTGACAGTTCAGCAGAATACTGTAAAACACACTGTAATGCAAGCAGCTGTCAGCAAACGCTACATACACAGAAGGTCTGTGAAACAGCTGAGGGCAACACATGTTCCTAGAAGTACAGACAAACTGGGTCACTCTCACATCAAATACACCAACCTTGTCTATCCACACACAGCACACCACTTACCACACACTGTAAACATAGTAGCCTAATATAAAACAAATAGAATCAAATTACTACACTACAAGCCAGAGCACACCAACCCAACAAAACACCACCGTTCTAATGATGGCAGCTGTTCGAGAACGCAAAGTAAGAGAACTGATACCAAACTGAAACCAAATGAACCAGTGTAAATGGGGAGGAAAATTCTAGTGAACAGGGCAGAACCTAGAACAATGTGAATGGAGGAGAACAGCCAAATGTCTGGGTTTATTAGCACTACTGAATCAAGGGGAAAAAAGAAACTAAAACATGGTGTCTGCGCACTGCTGTTAGTCTGAAATAGTGCGTTAAAAGTCTGAAGTGTCGGCTTTCTTTTGGACCTCGTCATGCATCTTTACATATCAAAAAGAAGGTCCATGTTTAGGTCTCATATGCAGGTCTCACTGTTGTATCTCCAATTTTATCACTATTTGAAAAAGCCTGTTGCCCTTTACTTTGTGTGTAAATTCCATGATGAATGAACCAATGAAACAGCCCAAAATTACTTGGAAAAAACTTGTGGTTCCACTGACGTACATTAAAAGTATAGTTTTTTCCTTCTCCTGTAAAGTTATCACTTTGGAGATACGAGGTTTTGTTCTGACAGCAGCGATATGCAAAGACAACTTCATACTGAAGATGTGGTTAATACTGTAGATCATTCACCAACATCCTCAGAAGACATGTCCTTCATCGAGTTGTCTTTTCTAGACTCACGCTCAAAATCATAATATTAATCAGAAGTGCAAAGTTACAAAATGTTCACACATGGCGTGCAGTTACACAACTGCTCCAGCTCTCCAAATCTCACAGAGTGCAGCTTTAAACTCAGGAGACATGCAGAAGCTGGGTTCTAGGTCACACAAAAAGGGTGTAACAATTTAGATTTAAAAACAGATTTAAAACTGCATTGCTGATACACCCCTGAGTCTCTTCCAAGGGTCTCCTCACTTGTAGTTTTTTGTGGAAACCTCTGTCAAGGATCTGGGCAGTAATGGGCACTATACCAGGTATGGGTTTTGTCATGACCTTTATACCGGTATGTCACAAATGAGTGCAGATAACGAGATATACAAACAGTGCAAAACATGGTAGTGTTACCCCTATAACTGAGTGACTGAGGCAGAGTGGAGCCATTTCAGTCACATTTTAAATAAAAATGCAGCAGTCCCTTGATCACCTACTGTCTAGTCCGTTGCATTTGAAGTAGTCCACCTTGTTTCTGAGGTGGCTGACATAACAGAAAGGCTGGACTTCTGGAGTTTGCCTTAGCCGACACCAGACCAACTGCACCAGACATACCGGCTTAGGACTGCCTGACTCGGTCAGCTGCATCAGACAAGGTGCCGGTCTCAGGGCCTTGGAAGCACAACAAGCAGTGGAGCAGCTGGTACTGGTAGTGAGAACGACTGTAATATTTTCCAAATTCCAGCAGTGCCTGACAGCCAGTGGTAGGAGTATATGGAGCATGCATATATTATGAATAACTTAAGAAATTTGATGAAGCTGAAGTTGGCTTCTCATTAAAATTTCCCATTACATCTTAAATGGTGAAGCAGTCACATTCAGGCACCTGTACAGCCTGAACAACTGGCCTTTGTAAAAATCAGTCATACATTTCTGAGGGCTTACTTCATTAGAGTGACATGACAGACATTGGAAAGTTGTATTTCAGAATTTTTATTTGTTTATTTCACTCTTTATTTTTGCTGTACTGAATAATGTATTGCATCGAGACACCATACTGCATCAAATTGAATTGTGAATTTTGTGTATCGTTACACGCTTACAAAAAGTTACAAATGTTA